AAAGCCTTAGATACGCGCTAACAAAAGCCTAAGATACGCACTAACAAAAGTAAACTGTCACAAAGACGGTGATAAAATAAAGTAAACATTACATTGTTTCAATCCAAACAGGCATCATCGAAACCCTGATCATTCGTGGTTGAAGGGTTGGACATTCGTGGTTGAAGGGTTGGACAGTCCTTGTGAAGGGTTGGACATTTGTGGTTGAAGGGTTGGACATTCGTGGTTGAAGGGTTGGACATTCGTGGTTGAAGGGTTGGACAGTCCATGTGAAGGGTTGGACATTTGTGGTTGAAGGGTTGGACATTCATGATTGAAGGGTTGGACAGTCCCTGTGAAGGGTTGGACATTTGTGGTTGAAGGGTTGGACATTCGCTGTGAAGGGATACTTGTATCACCCCCTGTTCATCCCCCCTTCCCCACAAAGCTAGTTAAAATGCCTTAAAGCTTTCCAACATGTGGTGGTTTACGACGTCATGTAAGGTCACCAACGCACCGCACCACAGCTACACCGTTGTACAGCATGTTGACACAATAGTGGACACACATGTTTATCAGCTTGAGTCTGATCAACTTAACACGGCCAGTTTAAACTGAGATTGACACCTACGGGCGAGATCAATTCAAATGTAACCTGTGTGAGTGTGTGGGCGGGGTAGGCTAGCTTGTTCAGTGATGTCTTATGGACTCGAACTCATGAACCAAACTCAAAACGTTTGAGTTAGTAATCGTGTACTCTACCACACGACCGAGGCGTCTTGGGTTCACCTGGTTCTGTGGACATGACAACATGACCTGCAAATAGCTTGTTGACCAGCTGTATTCCACGATATCTTCACTCCCTGAGTGTCCTATATTTGACAAGGGCGGTAATCACCGTGGTTTTTTCCCCAAAGTGTAATATCGGCGCTGGGTTTGTTTTTAAGTTTTCAACCGATTTGGAAAACAGCAACGACAGGTAGCGCCACGGTCAACAAAGAAGTGAAAAGTCAGTCGCGTTGGTGTATAGACAGCGCGATCCTTATCTGCAACCAGTCCACATTTTTTACTGTCAGACTATTGAATTCTGGTCCCTGACATTTATTGCTGTGCCATATTACTTAGACACCCCCCCCCTCTCTCTTTCTGATAGCTTTATAGGAAATCAGGTCAACTGGTTTGAATATAACCTTCCACTGGATCTTGTCAGCGCTGTTCACGAGTATTTTCAAGGGGAAGGGGAGAGAAGTCTGTACATTTTTTATATTAAGGCAGATAATCACGCGGGATCTTTATATGTAGTATTAGTTGTTCGAAATATGTGTTAATAATCTCAATCGCGAACGCATTGTAATATAGCTATATTTATATATGTATATATATATATATATATATATATATATATATATATATATATATATATATATATATATATGTACAACAGTGGCGTCATTAGAACGGGTGTCGCCCGGTGCAGTACACTAAGGGTATCACCCCATCCCCACCCCTCCCTCCAGCAATCTAGCATTTTCGGTGTGGTGTTACCCCTCTCCCCTAGGCCTACTATTTAATATCTTGGCTGGATAAAACATTGTTTTTATTTTTGGATTAGGTGGTGTCCAAATAATCAATATGCACCCACCCCACTCACTTCCCCTTACCCCTTACGTTAAAGCATATCGAACCTATTGAGAGACAAGAAAAAACCTATTGCCAGCACAAAGTTTTTGTAATGTGAACTACAGCAGAACAAAAGCCATGTGTATGGGCAGGTACTTGAGTATGTCGACCGTTTTGTTCAATCAACTCAAGTTTCAATGGGATTTTGTTGTGTTTTTTTTTATTTAGTAACATGTAGGCCTAGTGTGCATTTTGTATTGTTTGTTTTTATATTCACGTTTGTGTTTTAACATATCGTTATCCGAGAACTGAACATAAAATGTCGTTGTAATTCCTATATGTAAAAGTAACAGGTTTACACGCCTGTCAACTCATTTTAAATACCTGTCACCTCATACACAGGTTCACATACCTGTTGACACCAGGTTTAGCCTAGGTTTACACCAGTTGTAGCCTAAGTTATAGCCTAAGTTGATACCAGGTGTAGCCTAGGTTGACACCAGGTTTAGCCTAGGTTTACACCAGTTGTAGCCTAAGTTATAGCCTAAGTTGATACCAGGTGTAGCCTAAGTTGACACCAGGTGTAGCCTAAGTTGACACCAGGTGTAGCCTAGGTTTACACCAGTTGTAGCCTAAGTTATAGCCTAAGTTGATACCAGGTGTAGCCTAAGTTGATACTAGGTGTAGTCTAGGTTGACACCAGGTTTAGCCTAGGTTTACACCAGTTGTAGCCTAAGTTATAGCCTAACTTGACACCAGGTGTAGCCTAACTTGACACCAGGTGTAGGCTAACTTGACACCAGGTGTAGCCTAACTTGACACCAGGTGTAGGCTAACTTGACACCAGGTGTAGGCTAACTTGACACCAGGTGTAGCCTAACTTGACACCAGGTGTAGGCTAACTTGACACCAGGTGTAGGCTAACTTGACACCAGGTGTAGGCTAACTTGACACCAGGTGTAGGCTAACTTGACACCAGGTGTAGGCTAACTTGACACCAGGTGTAGCCAAACTTGACACCAGGTGTAGGCTAACTTGACACCAGGTGTAGCCTAACTTGACACCAGGTGTAGGCTAACTTGACACCAGGTGTAGGCTAACTTGACACCAGGTGTAGCCAAACTTGACACCAGGTGTAGCCAAACTTGACACCAGGTGTAGCCAAACTTGACACCAGGTGTAGCCTAACTTGACACCAGGTGTAGCCTAGGTTAATTAAAATCAGGTTCCCTACATTTTGATGACTGACACTGACTGATTATATATATACATACATATATAATACACATGTTATTGTCCCTATAAGCCACTAATATATAACTGTCAGTGTTATTAAAAAATAAACCTCACGATTTGAACCCAATTACTCAGCGAGCTAGCGGACCGCTGCACGACGACATTGTTAGTAAATGTGACCTGGGTATTTAGAGCGTTAAAACGGTGTCACCAGTCCCGTGACACTGAGTAAAAAATGCATCACGACATTACAAAGTACATACCTGATGTAACTTTTCTCTTAGCCGTACACCTTCATAAAGTTTGTCCAGAAATGATGCCACACACATCGGTCGGGGAAGGGATTGGGGGGGGGGGCGAGAGAAGGGGAAGTGAACCTTTTAATACTATGCTATGCAAGGAGGGGGGGGGGGGTGTTAAAGAAATTGCAATAGGATTTTGTAAAATCGTAAAATCGTGTTAATTATGAGGGTGGGGTGGAATATTTACACGGCTTTTAAGAGGTCTGGTTTCATTTACTATGACGTGTGACTATATATTAAACGTAGGTGTAGGATAAGTCGTGACGTCATCTCGGGACGATCCTTAAGATTATGATTAGGGAGTATTGTTAACATCAGTAGCCCTAGATTAACACAATGTAACATAAAACTAGTGTAGGCTCCTACAATAGTTCGAAATAAATCCAGCTTTAATTGAAATGATGGAAACTAAAACATAAGGACACTATTAAGGTCGTGATAATTAAAAACCTAATTTTAAGGAGATTTTTTTAAAGGATAAAACATCTGTAGTCGGGTGTGTAATCGGTAATGTAATTTGTCATGTAATTTGCCTTGTAATTTGTTCTCACGCTTTAGCGCATCTTCCTAGACTACGCTGTAAACAAAAATAATGAGATGGGTGAGGGGAGTTTCCACAGTCGGAATGTAGTTTTAGTTAAGTAAAACAAGCGTGAACACAAGTTCCAATAGGCCTACAAGGTTATCAATTCCTTCACTGGTGTGCGGGGGGGGGGGGGGGTTGTAACCAGATAGCTACAGTATGAACGGTGTTAAGTAGATCATTGGACGATTGGTTGTTCACCCCTTCCTTAAGACATCTGGTGGAGGGTAACAGGACATTAACCCCCCCCCCCCCCCCTTTGGGGATTACTACTGAATGTGCCTTATGCTGATGTTCGATTCTGAGTACTTTAATTTATTTCGAAAGTTCTCCAAATAGGCATTTGGTCTTACATGATATAAACAGTTTAACTATAATATGGTTTTACATAAAAACAATCACAAGGCGTCATCGAGCTCAGGGTGGAGTCCGGGACGCATCGAGTCATACGACCGTTGGGGTACCGGGGGACGCCCGTTGTTCGATTTAGTCATCGATTTTAGTAGCCCGCCGTGTCCTTACGGAATGTTTGCAATACACGACTCTATTGGTAACGTGATCATGAAACTTTATGAAAAGTTTCGTCGCTCTCTGTGTAGGACTAGATAGCGGCAATACGCGACGGGTACGTTAGTGTGTGTGTGTGTGTGTGTATATATATATATATATATATATATATATATATATATATATATATATATATATATATATATACATATATATATACACACTCCATTATTATCCACCACCTCCTCCCCCCCCCAATATCTCACGTGGTAATCAGTCATCACGCATAGCAAGTTAATGTCTTCACAAAACCAAATATGTATCTATTTGTTTTGAACTTAGAATCTTCCTGTACATGTCATTATATTTAGTTATCAAATAACAGAGAGGGTCGCACCCTTAAGAGACAGAAAGATGAGCATTAACAAAACATTTTGTCAGACCTGTGTGACAGGTCTGAAGAATGTCTACCCCCCCCCCCCCACCAGAACGAGATATAATTTATATAGAAGATATATACTTTTACTAGTGTCCCCCCCCCCCTCCCGGAAAACTTAGTCTGCCCCCACCCGAAAATTTTAAGTGCCCCCCCCCCCCCTTCTCCCAGAGAAAAATGTCTGAAAGAAACACTTGGTGGCACACTTACCGCACCAAGTGACACCCAACATTGTGACATCACTAGCTTGAGGTTTCATTTGGAACTTATCTATTATATGCTACTTTGTCTTATATATTCCTCAATTCTAATGTTTGGATAATCTTTATAATTGTAGGAGCAAGTTCAGGAATAGGAGCTGCCACAGCTGTTCTGTTTGCAAAACTTGGTGCCAGATTGGCTCTGACTGGCCGAAATGAGAACAACCTGAAAATTGTGGGAAAGAATTGTGAAAAAGAGAGCGGACACAAAGTAAAACTTTTCGCCCACTTTTTTTTTTAGAACATCACCAAAATCATAATCTGATGTTTATTTGTAAAAAGCTGTCATTCTTCAGATTTTTGTTTAGCTTATTTCTTAAACTTAAGGTAAATTCTAAAAAATAACTGTACTGTATTTGACTTTTTGTGTAGCCTGTCTTGTTGGTGGGAGACCTGACTATAGAAGATGACACCAGAAGAGTATTACAAGGTGCAGTGGATAGCCATAATGGTCAATTGGATATCTTGGTAAGTACCAAGTAAGACTTTAAATAGTAAACCTGTGTAAAAAGCTATTCAGATCTTATTATTTAAATGCATATCAACTGAAGTTTTTTAACAATTAATTTTTAAAAGTTTCGCTGAAATAGTCTTTATGTATGGTAAATGTTTTTTAAGTGTATGTGTTCAAATCAGTGCCAATCTTACTTAGGTATGTTACTTTACTATGTTGGTGTACTGTATTGAAAAGTCATAGAAAATACCATTGTGTACCCACCATGCACCAGATTTCTGTGATCTATCACTTGTTTGTGCTGGTTTAATAAAGGCTGCAAATCAGTTTAGTTTACACACTCTAATATCAATATATAACAAATTTGTTTCCAAAGCAATTACATTACAATCAGAGATAACTTATAATTTTGGATGAAAATATATGTTCTTTTATTAAATAGTGTATTGCATTAGACTGTTATGTGTACTTTTGATAAGTATCAATGTATAGCCTAAAACTATTTAAGATAATTAGTTTATTGAGGATGCTAAAATATGTAAACAGTTGAATAAAAAAAAGATTTGTATTAAAATTGTTATATTGCTTTTCTCTCATTTATTTGTTTGCAGATAAATAATGCAGGTATTATAGCCTTAGGAGGAATCCAAAAGGCAACACTACAGCAATATGATAAATTAATGAACACAAATGTCAGGTAGGTATCTTTTGGAATATAGGTTTATTACTAATAACAAAGTTGCCTGAAAGTGAAAGTAACATTCCTTCATACATTCTAAACAATGCATTTCTATAGTGAGAATGCAGTTTTTAAAGACCCACACAAAATTATTATTTCTATTTTTTAGTAAAATGATATTTCTACATCCTTAGGTCTATGTTTCACATGACTCAACTAGCCGTCCCTTATTTGATCAAAACCAAAGGGAATATTGTTAATGTTTCAAGTATCAATGGACTTCGTGCCGTAAGTAATTTTTTTTTAAATTTGGTTTTCTCTTTTTAATATAAAATATTTACATCAAATAGATGAGCTCAAGTAATCCAAAACTATTTTAAAATTTGTTTTTATTAAAAAAAATTTTTTATAATTTTTTATTTTCAATCTTTTGTTTTACATTGTTTACAGATTAATATTTGCCATAATAATAATTTATTTTTATTTTTAATCAGTTTGCTGGTGTTCTTACATACAGTATGTCTAAACATGCAATTGATGCTTTCACAAAATGTGTTGCTTTAGGTAAATGTTCACTCCTTTGACTTACTTTATAAAACAAATAAAATAGTTGCTGTTCTTTTTTAAATTATGATCAAAGATTTAAATAGCCTTGACTTGCAAAATTGCAAGAATTTAACAGTTTGAACAAGTTCTCTTGCCAAATTTTAAAAGCTGCTATTGTACTTTCTTTACTTTTGTAGATTTAGCTGATAAACAAGTCAGGGTCAACTGTGTCAAGTAAGTTTTATTCAGCTTCAATACTTTTTCTTTGTTATATTAGTGAGTCATATGTTTGGAGGTGAAATCCATTAATTGAACACATCTTAGTCTTTAAATTAATTTAGTTTTAAATTAATTCATACACTTTTATAATTTCCTGTATAATTTTTGTTTGTCGGAATATATTTTGACAGCTTAAATTTTTTTAAAAAGATGTTCAGTTTGATGGTAATATAATATTAAAACTTTAATAAAAATATGTTGTCTTTTTTTTTAAATTGTTTTTTGGTAGTATACTTTAAAAGTTAAAAAATCTGTTCTGTTTGTTATTTTGTGGTGGAATAGTTTTACAACTTGAATAAAATTCTGTTTTGTTCTCTGCAATTAACATTCAGAACTTTTTCTTTTTAGTCCTGGAGTAACTCACACAGAACTTCACAAGCGTGCTGGTCTTAGTGAAGCTGAGTATGAAGCTGTAAGAATATTTTTAATGCATAGACATAGTTGATAGTTTTAAAAACTGTCTCTAGGATTTAAAACAACTAATATTTATTTCAAATTTGTGATTAATCACCTTTTAAATTTAATTACAATGTACAATGAAAAGTGCTTTTATTTTCTATTTCAGTATCTTAAGAGAGCGAGATTCACCCATGCCTTAGGAAGATATGGTGAACCAGAGGAGGTTGCAGACTGCATAGCTTTTTTGGTTTCAGAACAGGCCAAATTCATTACTGGTGCCAGTATTCCTGTAGATGGTGGTAGACATGCCTTGTGTCCAAGTAGTTTGTCAAGAGAAGAAGGGGGCGTTTCAGCAATGGCTCAAAGTGTAGATGTATGATTTTTTAAGTCTTTCTAAAATAACAATTTTTTTATTTTTATATATGAGGATTTTTCAGTTCTTTCATGTTTTCAGAAAATTCCTAAAAAAGGTGAAGAGGTAATCATTTATTATTAGTTTTTTTAATAAAGACAAATGTATTTGGTTTATTTCAGTTTGTTCTGAAAATATTTTGGTTAATTAATGTTATTTAGTATTAAATTTTTAAGAACTAAATCCTTTTTTTACCATCTAGAAAAATGGTTCTAACAGCAAGGTAAATATGGTTTAAATTATGAAATGTCTGGTTTGAAATTTCTTTGCATCTGAGGTTATATTTTTGATTCCATTCTGATTTCTCCCTAGTTATAGTTTTGTAATTAGCTTGGGATTAAAAGTATAAATATAGATAACATCATCTGAACCCTGAAATTCATGTAAAGTAAAACTTAAGGTAAAAACTATTTGACATTCATTATTCCCTTATTTATGTTTATTTTTTCAAAAATCTTATAATTTCTGTTACAGTTTTGTTTTTGGGATTCATTTTTGTTTCATAATTTGGTAAATGCATACTTATTATATTTTATAGGTTTATTTAGGCTTTCCAGATTTTGAACATTAAAAAAAATGATTGTCACTAATAGTTAAGAATGAAATTTTAAATTATTTTTCTTTGTTTAGTTTAATATAACTATGGGTGTAAAACACAAATTCAATAAAATTAATTATTAATAGAGTGTAAACTGAAATTTAATTGCTATAACATTTTATAAAATTATTTGAATTTCTAAATTGATTTCTGTCCATAAAGATGCTAAAAGTATTAAAATACAACTTACGCACAAAGTATTGTTGAAATATAAAATCTAATAACAGTTTCAGTATGAGTTTTGTTATGTTATTAAAGACAAAGCATAATATCATAGTATTTTAAACTGTATAACACCAACACTATTTAATTTTGGATGACAGGAACTTTCATTGTGTAATAGAAAAAAAAACTACTTTGATTTGAATACCTAATTTGTTTCCTACTGCATTTAGCACATCAAAACAAATTGCTATTGAATGAAATATGGCATAGTTTTGTAGTTTAGGAGATGGATGCAATATTCTAGTTAGGATTCTATTTTTGTCCCCATTATAATGGGAATAAGAGCCTATTCAGTGAACTGTTCAATGTTTTAGATGTAAGCATTCCCTGCATGAGCATACCTGAATGTAACATTCCTCATCTGACATCAAATGTTACACAATGGTGCTATCGATTGTCATTACATAATTTTTACCAAAACTTAATTTACTTAAACAGATGATCTTTACTTCATTGTTTAATTATATAATATCTTCAGTAACCAATGAAATGCCAGGGAACAAAAAGTAAACTCTAGGCCACTGATCTCTGTGTATATGGAGTTACCAGGTGGGAAGCTTAACATATGTATAGAAGTATGGCTTACGTGATTTATGAAAGTGTTTTTACAACAAGTTTTAAGATCTTTCATTACTATATTTCATCAATTTATTATCATAGCTGTTAAAGTATGTGATTTATTTAAAAAAAGAAAGACATGAATAAAGCATTTATTTAATTAGCTGTTTAAATTGGAAGCTCAACTTATGTGAAACATTATTTTAAATAGTTTTGTAGTTCAGCCAAATTTTTATTTGCAGATATTAGAAAGCATGTTTTATTTTATTAAATATCATTCCAAAATATTTAAACTAAGTTTGTAACTAATTTGTGTACATATAGTACTTGTAATATAACTGTAACATATGTTTTGATTACACTATGTGTAAATGTGCTAGCTGCATGAAACAGTATTGTTAAAGATTGGGGTTTTGTTTGCTGTTTTACATTTTCCTTTTGAATGATGTTTCTATGAAACATCATTATAAATTATTTTTTTAACATAATTTCCTAAACATCTATCATTGGGTTGCCTAATAAATTTTATTTTCATATTTCAATTTCTGGTTTAAAAGCTGTACTGATTTTTAATGTTAAATAAGTAAATCATCAGGCTTACAACATTCTTTTAGCAAGTGTTCTCTGAAAATCTCTTATGGGTTTAATTTTTTATTTATAAAAATGATATAAAAAAATTCTATTCTTTAAATACCATTTATTTCTTATACTGAGACAGTTTTATATTGCCATTTACAAAATAGTTTTTTGTTTCAAAAGTTTTTATTTTTAGTAGATATAGTTTCTAAAGTTTCTTAATGTTTGACAATGAAATTTTTTTTTAGTTAAATTGAGTATAAATAGTAATTTTATATTTGTCTAAAAAGTATGTTATAGGAATAAATATTTGTTCAAATGTTAAAACGTGTTAAATATAAATTGAATATTGAATAAAATGTTAGATATTTAATAATACTTTAAAAAACTGAATGAAAGTTAAACAATTTAACCTTAAGTAATTGTAATTGTTGACCTTGAAATGTGAGAAATAGTCACAAGAGGTTGCTTTTATTTATTGTCTTGTTGCTCAGTTTAAAACAATAAAGTCACATTGTCAATCGTCTCATTTAAGCTCTTGTCTTTGTACTTAAAGATACAATGGAAAAATGTTCAAGCAATATCTTTTTTATGCGTGGGTATAATTTTTTTTTTAAAATAAAGGTTACGTGGCATAATAATTTAACTAATATGCACATCAATAAATGCTTTAAATTTTATAAGTTTGATAAAAACAATAGTTGAATTTAGACAATGTATCTTTGACAACTACTGTTGAATTTCATTTTATGCAATTGAATGCATCATTCTCAATAATTCATAAGGACAATAAATCGGTTGTGCCTATACATTTGAACTCAGTGGGGAAAATAAAAAATTGTTTGCAAGATTTCAAATAAAAATCATATTCCAACTACATCGTTTTGTCTTTTTTTTTAAATTATATATTTTTTACTTCTTGAAGAGATGCAATTCACTTCTTTTTCTTCTTCGTTGTTCTTAATTTTAGTGTTGGAAGTGATCCCCTCCAACACAATTAAGTATATGTGTCAACTTGTTATGCGCCTTTGAGGCCATTGACTCTGATTTCAGCCTGCTTTTCTTTTTGGATTTACTTCAATAGCCTTTGTCCAACCAAGAACAAACTATGAGGCAGCAGTTGTTGAATTTGGAGTTGTCTCTCCTAGAAAAATTGCTGTTCCCTGCTATTGAGCCTCATCTGCCCAAGGGTTCGAACTGAAGACTTTTCAGTTTAGCAGCCATGAGCTGCTTTTTAATAATTTTGAAATATTAAAAGCAGTTATTTTTAAATTTTTTAGTTTTAGCACCCAGTTTATATCTAATTTAAGTGTTTCTGATTTTTATAATTTTTTTTATCTACCCCATCCTATTTCTTAGAACAATTTTTATAATTAGCCTATATCCAGAGACCACCACCACCCCTAATTTATGCAATCATCATCTTTTCTCATTTGTGCCCAAGACACATGGGGCAGATGAAGTAGAGTCCATCTGTTTCAAATACCTCTGGTCAGTACTATGCCGAGCTGCCTTTATTGTCCCTAACGTGAGTTAGGTGCCCATCAAAGCTGGGTGGACTCTGGGACGTTCTACTGACTTGAACGCTGATTTGAACCCCAGACTTTCTGGTTAGTAGTCTAGCTCTCTACTGCTAGGCCACACTGTCCCATCATGTAATGGAATATTACTAGATAACCAAACCACCTCTAAACTGTTAGATAATTTGGTTCTTAATCGTACATTGGATTTAATGAAACAACAAGTCTGACATTGTTGTTTTTTCTTCACATAAATGTTACAAGCTTATTGTGCCAAATGGCCCATTATATGCATATATATATATATATATATATATATATATATATATATATATATATATATATATATATATATATATATATATATATATATATATATATATATATATATATATATATATATTTATATATATATATATATATTTATATATATATATATATTTATATATATATATATATATATATATATATATATATATACACAACATTAGAAGTTTTGAAATAGTAGTTGTGTGTGCAAGTATGTGTGCATATGTATTTGTGTGCGTTTCAATGAGTGTGTAAGTGTGAGTGTGTGTGTGCATTTGAATTTGTGTGTATGATTTTGTGTGCATGTATGTTTATGAGTAAGTGTGTGTGTGGGGGGGGGGGGGTATATTGATTAGACTTGATTTTAAAAAAAATCATAGTGTACTTGAAGATTGCTGGACAAGGATTCACACATGAAAATGTAGAACCAACATTGGATAAGAAAACTATGTTCTTGGATTAATTGAATATATTACTGCAAGAAAAACACAACAGCTTTATTCTCAGCAGAGAGAAGTACATTGCCTTTATAGATAACGTTCTACAGCCTAAAGTAAAGCAGACCAAAGAAACTATGACTATCGTTTAATAGAAAAATAAATAGGATGATATTGAAGTTGATGGCAAAGAAAACTTATTGTTGATCTTTTTGTACCAAGTGAAAAAAAAATAAATTTAAAATATAGTACAATAAAATAATTTGAACGTTTCTGTATTTAGTTTAGCCCACTTTTATTATTAAACAATAAACACCTTTATTGCATGATCATAGCAATATACAAACATACAAAATCTGCTCATGATATTCTAATTTGGATTTTGGCCATTTACCACAAGCCATAGTCCGAAATAAATTAATTAATAATTTCAGACACACACATAGGCTATATTCCCCCTATAGTTCTATATAATAGAGTGGGGGGGGGGGTCATCCATAAATGATGTCACCCTTTTTTGACGATATTTACCTCCACCCTCCATCACACATTGTCACAAAAAGCCAGACCCCTCCCCCTAAATGACGTCACACCTCAGCCTACAACCCCCTCAAAATTGTAGTTAAATTTTCCTTAAGGTACAATATTTTTCCAAAATCTTGTCTGAAATGTAAATTCCTGTTACAATTTATTAAAACGCAAAATAACAGCTAAAATTAGTTTTCTAACGTTGCTTTTTTATAATGCAAAAGTGTGACGTCACGCCATCTGACACCCCCCCCCCCTCTCGTCACACACCGTCACAAAATTACGGACCCCCTCCCCCTACGAGTGTGACGTCATTTATGGACGACCCCATATTGAAAAATGCATATCCCATTATGCCATCATATAACAAACAGAACAATTTGATGGCCTACTAAGACTACAGCAGCGGTGTCATAAAATAATTATCAAATTTGTTATTATTGGGAATCCCATTTTACTTTTAGAGAAAATCACATTATTATAAGTTAATTATAAATATGAAATTAGGCTAAACAGTATCATAATAATCCCATGCTAAACTGTTAAACGAAGCAACGCTTTTTAAAATAATTTTCACCTCTCCATTGTTAACAATTACAATATTAATCAAACCTATTTAAATATAAAGAAAAATATTGGCCAATAACAAATCAGAATAATAAATTTTTTAAAAAAAGATAAAGACGTCTGTGACCACACCCTTGGCTGGTGACCGGTAGGAATCAATTAAAAAAACAAAACAAAAAACAAAGACCACTCAAAGACCGAAAAAACTGCGGAATTTTTTTTTCTAAACTGCATTTTTGTGAAACCTATGTTCGTTTACAGTGTACATTAACATTGGCAATATATGGAGTTTGCAGAACACACAGGGTCGTCCATAAACCACATGTAGGGGGTTAAGGGGGTTAGAATTTTTTTATTATGCCTGATAGGGGTCATCCATTAATGACGTCACGCTTTTTTGACGATTTTTACCTCCCCCCCTCCCCTCCGTCACACGTCGTCACAAAAGGCCAGACTACCCCCTAAAATGACGTCACACCTCAGCCTACAACCCCCCCCCCCCACCCCCCCCCCCCCACCCCCCCCCCCCCCCCGTCAAATTTGCAGTTGAATTTTTTTTTTAAACATCGATATTTTTTTCTAAAATCTTGTCTGAACTCTGTCAAAATAAAGTATTTTAATTAGGCTGTTGCTCGTAATTTTTAAACTCCACTAATTTCGAGTAAAATTATACCACAAACAAACAGGATTTTTTTCCCTACACATTGATACCAATTTTGTGTCTCTAGCTTAATTAGGAGCTAAGATATGGCCTTTTAAAAATTTGTGGGCGTGGCTTAAACAGCTTAGACCTTCGTAATTCAAGTCTATGTTACGCAAGAAAAAAAGTTGGCACCGATGGTTTTTTCATTGCATCATCACGGATTCGCATTTTTCGAAAAATTAAAAAATTATAATTTTGTTGCATCATCCGGGATTCGCATTTTTTTAAAACTAAAAAATTATAATCAAGCTTAAAGCCTAAGTTATACTGGACTGGATATGATTGACTGAGTAATTTAATGCCATTCATGATTCATTTTTTATTATTGACTTATTACTCCGTGTAAAAAAAATTAATGTAGGTTTAAAATAAACTAGATCTAGTTATTGTAAATCGATTTATTAATATTTAATACTGTTAATACTATTATATAATAGAAATGCATAAGCACATATTACTTCACAAGTTCTTTAATGTAATTGTAATAACGATATTACTTGGGTAGATGAAGTAGAGTAGACCTGCACACACACCACATGGAAAATGGAAGTAGCAACTGGTTGCCTTTACGATACCTTCTCAACCCCCCCCCCCCCCCCCCCTTGATATTCAGTGTCTATATCAGGAGGCCATAATAAAATTATAGATCAAAATAAAAAGAAAATAGCTGTCAAAGTGTGTACCAGTGTTTATTACTACTGAACTATGCATACTGACATTTCAATGTTTGCTAAAAGAAATATAAATCATTAAAATACAGTAATCAGATTACCACATGAATTTTAATTTTGTCTAATAAAATAGAAACATTTAGGAGAATGGCAAAGTAAAAAAAAGATTTTTTGCAATAATTTAAAAATATGTTTATAAGAGCAAAGAAATAAATTACATAGTGACAACCTAAATTTAGCCCTTGTATAATCTACGATCAACACAGTACTGTAAAACAGTTACATAATCAAGAAATTAGCCTCTTCTCAATATGATCCCTCTTAAGAAGAAAAGTAGCATTAATTATCGAGGAATAAACATTAAAATATTGGTTTAAAGTATAATTACTAGTAGATCTAGATCTAACCCATTTATTGAATGTATGCTGGAAAAAAAATAGGTGACGAAAAATTTCTTGGACCACTTTAGTCTCTTTAGTGTTAAAACAATTTAAGTATCAATTATAATTAATCTTTAGATACAATTAGCACATCTAAGGAAAAGAAGCACATTGACTACTGATTCTAGGATTATCTAGCTGATTTCAATTACCCTGAAAAATAAGTTAAGTAATTAATTAAAATGTAATTTTTTTTTACACTATGAACACTAAACTTAATTATAAACATTGTTAGTATTAGTTTTCAAAATAAGTTTACAATTCACAGCAATCATTTTTTCAGTAACAATTTACAAAAACACTAATGTTTAAAAAATAAAGTTCATTTTTATACTAAAAATGAAAGAAGTACTCTGAAATTCTGATTAGCTATTATTCAGAAAGAAAAACAAGATTCCTATAAAGTCAACCACCAGTGATTCTGCCCGATGACTGAAATCCTCAGCATTATCCTTATCCTCTGCCCAGTAGCTTATGGTGTAAAGAGCTGACTTTTGTTTTGTTGCTGGCAGTCTTTTAATAGTCCTTCCACTGTATTGCGACACACCTTGATCACCTTGCTCCCACTTATGAGTCAGCTAGACACCAATCAGATTTCCCATCAGATACCTCTCCAGCTGTCGCACCAAGAAAGGCTCAGTAGAAGTCAACAACGCTTCCATGACTTTAAGAAACAGAATACATTTGATCGCCACATTGCGTTCTTGTAACTGAGCTTTATCGAAGGACCAGAAATTAACTTCCCAATCAGCCTGAGTGCTTGCGGCGCTGCATGAGAACCCCAGGCTTCTTGAGATCTGCAAGCAGTTGAATGTAGATTTTAGTTATGTCCCAGCAGCCACATCATTCTCTTTAAGATGAGCCTTAAATAAAGCTGGATCTCCATGAAAACTACCTGAAAAGAGAAGGGCAAATGGAATTAGAATTTAGCAGACCATTTCACAAAATATATATCTAGCACAACATATTGCAAACTATATAAAATAAATATAAACATTAGAAATACATTCAGTCTCCATACTTACTGAATGTACTTCCACCTGAGACATGGGTTGAACATAGAAAGGGCTGTACACAAGTTCCACCAACCTATTCCCAGTCACAAGCCTGTTCTCCTCAGCCGCTTTATATCAGCCATCAAGTTTCTGATTACATTAGCAATCCTTCTTACACCTTGTTGGTCTTGCCTATAAGCAAATAAGATGTACAAAGAAAACAAACTGACCCAAGTTCTAGGCACACAATTCTAGAATTAAATTAATATTAATAAAATTATCAAGTACTAAAATTGTCCTTAATAGGCCTAATTATGGATATATACATAGGCCTACATTAATTTAAATATATAGGCCTACTTGATGGAGAATTATACCTGCACTAGTCTAAATCTATTCTTAACCATTTAACAATGTCTCACTATTTTTACAAGATCTAGATTAGAATCTAGATCTAGACTAGTACTTGTATGACCTAATCAAACATAATGATTAAATGATTGTGTTCATCTACTAAATGTACTGAATTAAAATAAATAGGCTAATTAATGAATTGATATAGGCCTAGTCCTACTTAATACTTAATGCAGAATTAGATGAACACTTAGGCCTATATAACTATATAATTATATAATTAATTAACTTATCTAGATTCTAGATCTAGATCTATATCAAAATTAACTAGTACCTTTTATTTCTTACTAGAATCTAGATTAGTGTAGGCCCTATACTATTGTATTACTATTAGCCTATAGATTATAGATTTAAGATTAAATTAGATCTAGAATTAAACTAGATCTAGGCCTAAAGCTAGATTATTTTTTACTAGATCTAGTTACTATACTATAGACTATAGATCAATACTCAATAGAGCTAGTAATCTGGATTCGTTTTTCTAAATCCAGAATCTATTAGGCTATCTATCTTATTAATAATATCATCTAGATCTATTCTAGGCCTATTTACTACTAGATATCTATACTTAATACTAGAGTCTAAATTTTCTATTTTCTAGAGTCTAGAAATCTAGAGATCAAAATTTAAGTCAACTTGTGTAAAAATCTTAAAATTAAATTAATGTAAAGTCTAGATCTAGACCTAATGGCTTATTGTCCTAATCAACCGTAATAATTTAGTAAATGTAATGTTACAGTAATGTAGGCTACTTAAACTAAATTATTAATATTAGTAGGCCTATAGTAATACTAATAGTAATCAAGTAATGCGATATTTTAATAATGTAAGAATCACAGGAAATTTGGCGCGAAATTAAGGCTCTATCGCGGTGAGCCTTCCTAGGCTTGCGGACCATTGAAATCGTAATTTTAAAATATAGGTTAATTTTAGAAGACCCAATTATTAGTCTAGTCAACATTTGGGCATGTCAATGTAAATATTAAGTACCTTATTATTTATAGATTCTTACCTTATATTTCAGCACATTGCTCCTCTGTAAGCTAATAAACGAGATCCAAAAATTAAAATAGGTTTTGAATCTAAATCCTCTTGAGGTTAAAACAAAGATGCGCACTGTGTCATGCGTAGATCAGGTGTGCTGTGGTTTCGCCTTAAGCGACATGGCCTTAATTACCAATGGGCAACCGGAAACATGGAATTTAGGTTCAAGGTACAGCCATGATTACCATGGCAACAAAGGTCACGGCGCAAGCTGCGCAACTCGCTATTTTAATCAATTCCTATTACAATTTATTAAAACAGTTTTCTAAAACGCGAAACAACGTCTAAAATATTCGTTTTTTAACATTGCTTTTTTATAATGCAAAAGTGTGACGTCGCGCCATCTGACCCCCCCCCCCCCCCCCCGCCCCTCCTCCCCCCCTCCCCCTCATCACACACCGTCACAAAATTACGGACCCCCGTTCCGCCACACTTTTGCATTTTAAGAAGTACAATAGGAACGATTTGTGACAATGAAAAAAGAATGGGGGGTAAAAGTCGTCCCAAAAATTGTGACGTCATTTACGGATGGGTCGCATGGACTACGTCAATGATCTGAAATGCAAATATTTTAATATGGGATTTATTTTTTACATATAGTAGATCTATCTTTCTGAAACCCGACCCCTACCCCTCTTGGACTAAGATCATGTAGACGTGCCCAAAACAAAGAAAGTATCATAAATAATAAACTCTGCATGAAATAGAAAAATGCGAATATAATAATAAAGTACAGGAAAATGTAAATAGTAAAAATAAAAATGGCGACTCCCAAAAGGAGTTCTTCTCCAGTAGAGGATTTTAATCCATTATCTGATGACCAGTAAGCGATAATAAATTATGATGTAGACTGTACAATTGCAACATGTAGATCTAGATATTTTAAGTTTTAGGCTTCAGTGTATAAAAGTGTTTAAGCCTAGTTAATAGTCACAGTGTAGTAGTGTAGTAGTCTCGGAACTAGATCTAGAAATTCTGAAAATAAGATCTGAAGTAATTCAAGTGTTAGTGTAGACTGTAGAGTGTAGTGTTTAGTCACTGTTTAGTGTAGATCTAGTACTTTTTTTTTTAGTAGTAGTGTAGTCTTCTTAAGTTCTTTGACTTTCTTTTCTTACTTTCACCATTCTGATTCTTTTGTTGATATACATAAAACCTGCCATTTGCCAAATTACATTGGACTTGTGTGATTGTTGTGTGATTAAACCGTTTGTTTACTCTTTACCCTGTAGACTGTAGAGTAGTCGCCAGTTGCCAGTATAGTAGGAAGATATTTATTTTACATAGCAGATATAAAAGTAACACTGCCTTAATAGTTGAGTTAGGGTTGTTGGTATCGGCCGAGTTCTCGGTAAAAACATGACCCGATTTCTCCCATTATTTTCTCCTGATACCGGACACACGAGATTTGGTTTTGCATACTAAACTAATAACTAATAGGCCTAAGTTTTTAATTTATGGTAATTAATTAAGTTTAAAAGGTCATTTCCTAATGTTAAATGAAAAGTGGAATGGTTTTCCAGTAATTTTAAGTATTCAAGTTCTACTTATCCTTACTTATAGTTATATTTATATGCTGAAAATCAGAATTCATTACACAATACTCACATAAAAACATTGATCTGATAACTTCTGTTCACTTTTAACAAAATGGCTTAAAGATGGACTCTATTTCACCTGCCCAAAATAATGGGGCAGTTATATGCATATTACAGTGTTCAAGTCATTTTCTTTAGATTGCTATGTAGTTCTTTCATTCACTGTAAAACATTGCTTTAGAAACATTTTCATATTTGCGCAGCAGTTTTTTTGGGGTTATGGAAGGAAGCCAACACAAAAATATACTTCTGTATTATTTTTATTCATTTCAACAGCATATACAAGTTCTATATATCATTCTAGCTAAACTCAGCAAATATGAACAAAATACAACTGCAAGTAAAATAACTATGCTCAATTTATTCAGGTATACCATGACTTGTCACAATTGGCCAATGCAAAAACAAGGGGATTCCACCCCTCACAAAAAAATTCGCTAAAAAAAACTATTTGAGCTAGACAGAAAATCTTTTTTGTTTTGTTTTCATATAGTTCAGCTCTACAAGAATATGTAATTTTTAGTTTTATATGATGATTAGTGTTTTTTTTACCAAAATCCCTACTAATAGTAAGTTAATAGTATAGGGATGATAATATTGATATCACCTACTGAGGTGTGGTGCATAAAAGGGCTGACCCTGAGAGATAACACTCAATGTAATGACGCTTTTGTTGTTAGAACCTGGCTTTATTGCAAATCTGTAGAACCTGGCTTTATTGCAAATCTGTATATGGCTGATTCATGAACGTCAAAGCCACATGCAGCACTAGTATGATAAAAAAACAGTAATATAAAATATAATGTACAATACCTTCATTAGATCTACATAACCAAGTTAAACAGCTGAACGGTCCTTGTCATCCATAGCCTGGGGTTTGAATGCCGCGGGCACAGGTACAACTACCCAGAGTCTCAGATGTCACATGACATGGGAACACGGGGAACATCGCTCACAGAAGAGCATAAAACAATACATCCATAGTTGCGGTACTACAGGGGCCGCAGCCAAATAAATACCAAATTACATACACTTAAACCTCAATACTTTTTCTTATAAACATATAACACACTAAAAAGTAGCCCTGCACTCTTAATCTATACCTCATTCACCAGTCAAGATAAATGCTTTTGTTATTTTAAGATACATATATTACTCCTAGTCATAAATTGCATGAATGATAGCCAACTGTGAATAGCCTCGGCCTTTTGGTATAATTTTGTTTAATAGGTTTTTTCTTCACAATTTTTGTTGCCCCAAAGATTGTCTTAGTGATGTTTTTACAATGATTGATAGATTCCTCAGACAGTCAGCTAATGGAACACACTTGTGGCTGATGTTTACCTGCACCCCAATGTTTCCTATACATATCACTGTTTTGTAAACATAAGGCCTTTTGAATTTTAAAATTGAACATGCCTATCCAACAATGATATAGCTTTTAAAATTAATTGATTCATAACAAGTAATAAAATAACATTGCAAGAATATGAAGACAGCTCAGTAAGCCATTATAAAATATAAGGTTGAGTTAGATCAAATTTATTCATCACCTTGCCAGGTGGCTAAAAAATGGTTTTCTTTATTTTCATCATCCGTAGAGAGAATTGCAGAGCTTTTAAAAATTGAATCTTTTCAGTCTCTGAAGTAGTTCAATACTTAACTTTCATATTTTATTAACTTGAAATGACATAGGTTAAATAAAAAAATGTTTATACATATAATAGTGGTTTTAAAAAAATAATTTTGTAAATATTTTGTTACAAATGAAATTCTAAAACAAATGATAAATTATGAAACAAAAAGTGGTTCTTTAACACAGTTAAGCTGAACAGAGTTCCAACTACGGTAGGTTAGGCCCAGTAGCTAGGGACAGCAACCCATCTAGGAGAGAAACACTCCAAAATCAAATACTGCTGCCTTGTATCTGGTTCTTGTTTGGACAAGAAAGAACAGCAGGCTAAAATCAGAGTCAATGGCCTATATGGCACATAAAAAGTTGACACATAATATTTAATTCTGTTGGAGGAAATCACATTCCAACATTACAATTAAGAACTAAGTAGAAAAAGATAAATCAAACTAAAAAATAACCATTGATAAGTCATACTAAAAGATAGACATTGATAAGTCAAACTAAAAGATAGACATTGATAAGTCAAACGAAAGGATAGGCATTGATTATATTGTTAACTAAACCTTATAAAAAAACAGACTTATTTTTTGCAATAAATTTAAGTATCTATAACAATTTTTTTTTCATTTAAAAAAAAAAATAAGTAGATCTAGTACTAAATGATATTACAATTTTTATGGATATAGCAGTTAAAAAACCAACTTAACATGAGTTTGTGCTTTTTATTGGTGCATTCAAGCTGGAAGCTTTTCTTATTTCTTTATATTTTCTTTTTTGTTAAGTACATTATTGCATATATTTTTTCATAATAAAAAAAAGAACAGATAAGAGTTAGTTGCCTTTTTTCAAGACACTTGGAGCAGTGTTTCAAACAAGGATAGTTTTTCTCTGCTATTTGTTAATTGAGCTCAAAGTTCAAGTGTTCCAAAACTTTTGATTATTCAAGCAATATAATTTCATTTTATATAAAACATTTGTGAAATTTAAGAAATGTCTTTAGATTATTCATCAGAGCGAAATAAAATCCAGTGAATCACCTAAAGCATAAACCCTTGTGATGATTAATTAACATTAGCTTACCAAGTATGGACTGTTAGTGACATAAGTATGTCAGGGAGAACACTGGTTCAAGCAATATTTAAGTTAAGAACTTTTACTTCCCTTTATATTTTTTTCAAGTCAGAGCTACTGACGTATTTCCTTTGACGACATTTCCACACTTTATCCTTGGTCCTATGCACTGAACATCAAGTAAAATCAACAATATAAACTATACTGTCTATTACCAACTATTAAACTTTCTTTTTTTTTTGCTCATGAAACAGAAACTTTATTACTTGTGTATTGTTTGTGTTTCACACTTTCAGGTTTTTTTTAGAGAAATTTCCCCAGCATTTAAAATAATTTAGTGTAACTTGTGTCTTTTATACCATAGATCCCCTGATCAGAAGTATCTTAGTACAGCAGTCAATGGAGATGAAATATATGATGAAGACTTGAACTCGACAAACAGTTTTGGCTCAGATGAAGATTCTATCAGTGATCAAGATGATGGTAGAACTCTCGGCCAGCAGTATTCTATTACCCCTCCATCTATACCTCGTTCACAGAAACGTGAGAAAAAAGGCCAGACTATGAGAAGTCGTCATGCAGATAGATCTTATAAAGAGTTTCTAATTACCAAAAGACAACAGCAGCCTAAATCTTTTGTGAATGTCATTAAAAATGAGTACTTGGCAGATCCTCCTCTATGTAATCTAATGGAGCTTGACTCAGATGACAACATGGACAGAGACACCATTCGAGGGAAGCACTTGAAGAAGGAGAAAAAGAAAAGGGAGAGTAAAGAGACGAAGAAGACTCTGTCCTTACTGCGGTTCAATGAGAGAGAGGAGAAACGCTTGTCTGAAGACTTCAGCATGCTGCACGTCTCTGAGGCGCTAGAGCAGACTGGCATTAAGCTGGACGGCTCAGGGAGGTTTTCACATCTACGCCAGAAGGTCATTTTACCGCTCAGTCCTGAGTGTAGAGCCAGGCGTCAGATAGCTGAAGTTCCAGAGTGCCAGAAAGAGAGGGCAGAGTTCCACAACAACTTTGCTCTTCTCATCAGCTTGGGCACAGAGGCTAAGAAGGACAAGGAGACAAAAATGTCCTCTTCTAAAAGACAGTTTAGTGTGGAGCAAGATGTCTGGAGGTCAACTTTAATAGAACAAATATGGATAGAGCTGCAGGCTTACATCAATAACAATATCTCGCATGAAGAACAGATAGAACTGCTGAAAAAAGAAAGGCAGTTGCATGAGAGGGTCATTGATGACATCAATAATTTCTCTTTTGCTGAAACAGTTTCTGGGGATTGTCCAGACACTGCTTTCAACACAGACACCAACACGTCCAATGCTTTCTTCTCGGAGAATGGCTGTAGAAGATCTTACAAAGAACTGGTTTCTCGCAGCGTCTCAGCTTCCTTTCTAGATGTTGATCTTACAAATGAAACTGTCCATGTTCAGGAAAACGCTCTCATACAAGTTCAGAAATTGCTTGAAAGACTTGATCATTATGAGAGCGGCTTCAACTCTACAAAGGCTTGTGAGAAAGAGAACAAAAAATACAAAGACCCTGGGTTCCAGCGGAGGGTGAAGTGTTTGAACCTGTGGCTGAATATAACCTGTGACTTGTGCCAAAAACTCAAACTCTTTGGTCGCATCATTGGCGCCCACTCCCGTGGTATACCCTGGCCACTAATAAACTTTGAATTTCCTAAACCTCAACCCCACAACCTTCCAGGCTGTGCCAGAGCAAGTGTTCCAGATGTCTTAGAGACTGAGCCCACTGATTCCTCTGATATTGATGAATCTGAAGTGTGCCCTAATAATTCTTATTCCAAAGATCAGGAAAACGCTGGTGATCCTGGAGGTAATGTGTATCTTAGCCCCAGCCGTAAACAAGTCAAGTTTCAGTTTGGGGATGAAAGCAACAGTGACCAAGGGTCACCCATGGGCAGCCCATCTAATGAAGATCCCAGCAACCCCTTAAACTCTAGCACGCCCATCCGTGGTCTCAACCCACTAGCAACCATCCCCTCTGATGAGTCCTTTCTCCTGGGTTCATCTCGGACTTCCAGTGAAGCCAACATTGAGGACTGCAGGCAGCACAACCATTCAATCTACAGACATTATGCAGAGAAGTGCCTCCGCAAGATGGGCCTTCAGAGACTCAATGTTAGATTAAGAGATTTATTCCACCGTAGTTTGAGGAGGGCAAAAGAAGCTTTACAGAGACCTAAGGATACACTCTACTCAGATACTGGCATGGATGATGAGGTAGGTTTTTATGGTTTGTTTGTTGTTGATATAAAAAATAACCCATAATCATCTTTTCCTTTCAGTGCCCAGGACATATGGGACGGCAACATAAAAATTATACTTGCTATAAAAATAGCTCATGGTCTACTTTAATTTCAATCATAAAATACATTTTATTGTTTACCAGGAAGTTTTAAGTGTGTATGTGGGGGGGGGGGGGGAGGGGGGGAGTAAACGTACTGTATCTTACAGTGTATATACATTTATATTTATACAAAATTTTAGACTCTACGTTCATTTAAAATAGTTGATTTTTTTCTTGAGGTTTTTTTATTTAAAGAATGATTTTGTCTTAATAAAAATTTAAGCAAGCGTTAAAGTTGTTTTTAAAATTATATTGGCTATTGTAAGAGTTGAGAGTATTTAATTATAATTATTGTTTTGTAAGAATTTATTTAAAAGAAAAGTAAATATGATAGTAATAGCACTTTTGAATAATCTTTCTGTTTAAAGGAGCTGCCAAATGGTTCAGAGGAAACAGTTGGTTCTTTTTCCTCTGGGCCAGCTTCAACAGATTATTCCACACGCCCTGGCCTGGCTAGAGGCAGCAGTCTTTCAGAGCATGGAGAATGGAGCAAACAGTTTATTGAGATGGATTTGCCTTCATTTAGACCTACTTATCTGTTTATTGTACGCATTCAGCTGGATGTCATCCATGAATGTTTGAAGCTAAGAAAAGATCAACGGCCAATAGGAGATCCTTCATTTCTCAGTATTAGACAGGTATCTATAGTTTGTTGGTCTAATAAAAGTAGGATTGTCTCAGACAAAATAGGAAATGTAAGGAGACTATATTGTTTTATTGAAAAGAAAGGGTGGATTCATTCATGATATCAGGTTTAGTGGTAGAACACATGATTTCTACTCTGAAAGTCTAGTTTGGTTACCAGTTTCCCAGTCTAACTCTAATTAAAGAAAGTAAAGACAGCTGAGCCAAGTGTTGATCAAACAGTACTTTCATGCACTGAAGTCAAGAAATAGATGAACTGTACTTTCACCCAATGGACAATCTGGTTTTGATTGGTATTTCATTAAGTCAGCCAACACATAGTTTCTATATATATAATTCTCTTCTGGGAGACGTTAGAAAACAAGCTGTAAGCGCGCCGAGCAGTCCCCTCTTTTCCTCTCTAGGCATATCGAAACCACCCCCACACCCACATGGTCTGGTGAGCTGTAGTTCACGCTAAATGTTTACATCGTAGAGCCGGGTTTAGTGACGGCTTTTAGGGGCAGATAATTTAGTTTAAAACTATTTTATACTTAGGGGAAGTAACTAAGGGGGGTAGGGGTTGGGGGAAAGGGGGGTTTTAGTGTTTTAAAGCAAATATTTTCAGTGTACTACGGTACTGTCGAATTCACAAATTATGAATTACTGAAAAGTAGAAAATAAAACAAGTAAATAGCGGCGTATGATTCGCTGGGGATTGGCTCGTACTTTATAAAATGCTAAATGATGTTTCTATTTAAGCATAACTGTTACCTATTTTATGTGCAGCTTATCCGTGAATGTAAAGAAGTTCTGAAAGGTGCTACTCTAGTAAAACAGTATTACCATTACATGGTGGATGCTGTCCTGTGGGATGAGCAGGAAGCTGAGGCCAAGTATGAGACAGATCTAACAGAATTTGACGAGGACATGAAGAATATGCTAGATGTAAGAACTAAATCTGGCATTGTTTACTGTGGAATAAACTTTGTTTGCTTTACGTAAATATTAGTTTGTGCACAATTCTCAGAATTCTGTTTCTACACTTTAATACAATTTGGAGATTATAGTTTAAATTATGGAACTATTTACTTTTTGAGATCTTGTGTATGGTGTTCCCTTTTAAAAATGTAAATCTCTATTGTAGGTATACTTTAACTATTTGCAAAACTGGATCTACATGCTTCAAGGGTTGCCTCAAGCTTCTCTTGGGATGAAAAGTGCCTTAGAAGAAGAGTGGACGTTTACAAAGTCTATCTGTGCTTACATTATGGGTGGGGAGGCAGAGGCAGCTAAAAAGTTTAGGTAACTATGTTCAAACCTGAATACTCTGTTACTATTATTTCACAGCTTTACTTTATAATTTGGGTATCTCTAAAATAACAGTTTAGGTCTGTTATTTTCATGGTAAATGTATTTCTGTGTCTTGGGCACAAACAGAAAGAGATGATGATGATAATATTTTAGCTCAAAACAATAGCATCAAGAAGCATTTTACAATTCTCACACACTTATAAATATCAGTATCTTTTTAGAAAGAATACTGTCTTCTGTAAAGTATTGTAGTGTAGTGAATAAGTAATTTATAAAATGTAAAGTGAAGAGTTTCTTTGGTCTCACTATAATGGATTCTGTGGTCACCACTATACCCAGCCATCATTACTTTCTCCTATTCAAGTTAAGTACCCATCGGAACTGTGTGGGCTCAGGGATGACATATGTTCTTGGTAGTACTGGATAGCTGTTGCAGGCTCTACCACTCACCCTCTACTTAACAGAGTAATGATGGGATGTTGTACAGATAAAATAGCTTTCTCTCCCTACAGTTCATTAGCCAGTAGCCTGCTCAGCTCTATTGCTGATTTTCTGGACAACAATATTGACGAATACACACGCAGTCTGTATGATGAGAGTGTTGATGATGATGAAGCTATGGATGACAATGGAGATGACAATGATTTTGGTGATGACAATGAAAGTTTAGAGAGCAAGAGAAAACTTAGGAAGATGGCAGAAATGAAGTAAGATATTAACAATAGATACATTTTTTCTTCTGAAAAATATCTATTAATTAATTTTAAATTAAGTAGCCAACACTGAAAATTGTAATTCAATTTCTCTTCAGGCAAAATGTGCAAAAGACCCTTAGAAATTTTAAAAACCTTTTCAATGAGGCAAGAGAAAGAGCATCTAAAGCTCTTGGTTTTGCAAAGCTATTAAGAATGGTATGTGTATTAGTTTCAAAAAGAAGAAAATTCAATGCAAAATATTAACCCAAAGTTAGTAAGATACATTTTTATATATATTAAAAAAATACAGTTCATCAATTACATTTTTTTTTAAATTGTACTTAATTCATTATATTTTGCAACATTGATTCATAAAATCATATTAATTTTGTTTTAGGATTTAGAAGTTGCAGCAGATTTTAATATTTCTGTCACAACAAAAGAACTTTTTAGCAAATTAATGGAAACAAGACATGTCCAGGTACACTTCATCATTTTAATTTTTTAAGCATTAATTTATTTTCCACCTGTAAAAAGGTGTAAAAACATTCAAACGTGGTAAAATATATTATGTATTAAAATAGTTACTAATTAAAACTCTGCTACCAATATTAAACTGAGAGTTTAACTGTTTTAGAAGATCCAAATTAAAATAGCCAAGAATGTTTAACTCTCTGTCCTCTAGCTTTGTGCTCCACTGAGCTCCGGCTACATGATGTTCATCCCAGACAGCATCAAGTCCAACAAGCAGCTCATACTGCAGCTGTTGAACGTAACCTGCGGACGTGAAGACACACCAGATCCCGCCAAGCCGGCAGATCCCAACAACTCCAACCACCACAACACGTCTGTCAAAGATGACGGCTACCTGCTGATGATGAGGTGTGAGAATGGCTTGGATCACGTCAAGGAGTGCCCCCGGTGGACAGGGTTTAAACTCCAGGTGGAGCCGACAGCAGAAACAGCTATAGCACTGTCTCACATAGAGGTGGGTAGTTACTTTTGTCCATAACACTGTCTCACATAGAAGTGGGTAGTTAGTTTTGTCCATACCATTGTCTCACATAGAGGTGGGTAGCTAGTTTTGTCCATAGCCCTTTCTCACATAGAAGTGGGTAGTTAGTTTTGTCCATAGCTCTGTCTCACATAGAGGTGGGTAGTTAGTTTTGTCCATTACACTGTCTCACATAGAGGTGGGTAGTTAGTTTTGTCCATAGCTCTGTCTCACATAGAGGTGGGTAGTTAGTTTTGTCCATAGCTCTGTCTCACATAGAGGTGGGTAGTTAGTTTTGTCCATAGCACTCTCACATAGAGGTGGGTAGTTAGTTTTGTCCATAGCTCTGTCTCACATAGAGGTGGGTAGTTAGTTTTGTCCATAACTCTGTCTCACATAGAAGTGGGTAGTTAGTTTTGTCCATAACTCTGTCTCACATAGAGGTGGGTAGTTAGTTTTGTCCATAACTCTGTCTCACATAGAGGTGGGTAGTTAGTTTTGTCCATAGCGCTCTCACATAGAAGTGGGTAGTTAGTTTTGTCCATAGCTCTGTCTCACATAGAGGTGGGTAGTTAGTTTTGTCCATAACTCTGTCTCACATAGAGGTGGGTAGTTAGTTTTGTCCATAGCTCTGTCTCACATAGAGGTGGGTAGTTAGTTTTGTCCATAGCACTGTCTCACATAGAGGTGGGTAGTTAGTTTTGTCCATAGCTCTGTCTCACATAGAGGTGGGTAGTTAGTTTTGTCCATAGCTCTGTCTCACATAGAGGTGGGTAGTTAGTTTTGTCCATAGCACTCTCACATAGAGGTGGGTAGTTAGTTTTGTCCATAACTCTGTCTCACATAGAAGTGGGTAGTTAGTTTTGTCCATAACTCTGTCTCACATAGAAGTGGGTAGTTAGTTTTGTCCATAACTGTCTCACATAGAAGTGGGTAGTTAGTTTTGTCCATAACTCTGTCTCACATAGAGGTGGGTAGTTAGTTTTGTCCATAACTCTGTCTCACATAGAGGTGGGTAGTTAGTTTTGTCCATAGCACTCTCACATAGAAGTGGGTAGTTAGTTTTGTCCATAGCTCTGTCTCACATAGAGGTGGGTAGTTAGTTTTGTCCATAACTCTGTCTCACATAGAGGTGGGTAGTTAGTTTTGTCCATAACTCTGTCTCACATAGAGGTGGGTAGTTAGTTTTTTCCATAGCACTCTCACATAGAGGTGGCTAGTTAGTTTTGTCCTTAGCTCTGTCTCACATAGAGGTGGGTAGTTAGTTTTGACCATAACTCTGTCTCACATAGAAGTGGGTAGTTAGTTTTGTCCATAACTCTGTCTCACATAGAGGTGGGTAGTTAGTTTTGTCCTTAGCTCTGTCTCACATAGAGGTGGGTAGTTAGTTTTGACCATAGCACTGTCTCATGTTTCATGTAGAGGGGCAGTTAACTTTTTCCATTGTTCTTACATATGGGGGAGTACCTAATTATATCCATTGGTCTTTTTTAAATAGCTTTGACTAATTCATATTTTCCATTGTTCTAATAGCTTGTAGTCATAAGTTTATTATTAACATTGTAGTGAATGATATTGTAATGATATTCATTTTTATGTAATGATATTGATTTGTAATGGGTAATTTCAATTTTTTTTTTTTTTTAGTTTTTTTAAATTCCATTTTTTATGGTTCTATTCTAATACAAAATGAAGTAATGTAATTTGACTCTTTGAGGCAGATGTTTACACGAGGCTGTAAAACAAAATGTTTTTATAGCTTCTAATTGTTTTGTTATTTTTGTAGGTGATGGGCCTACTGTTTGTAGTGACTAACTCAGGAACACTTGCCCAGCAAAGAAAAACGTTTGAAAATGTTATGGGGAAAACTATTCAGCTTGTCAATGAACAAACATCATGTCACCAGTCTATAGCAGAGTCACTATCTGAGCTTAAGGTAAGTTGTAGGTTAGGGTAGCTCACAGTAAGTTGTAGGTTTGGCTTAGCTCTAGGTGCTTTTGTAGCTCAATTTATATTTATAGGTAAAGCAAAAACAGTTAAATGTTAGGCTTAGCTTTATGTTAGTTGTAGTTTAGAACTAACATCTATTTTTTGTAGTTACTTAGTTGATTAAAATTCTATTAATTACTCTTTTTCTTTCCCATTTTAACTCCTCTCAGAGCATAGGCCAATGACAACATCCATCCATACTTTTCTGTCCTTTGCTAATTTTTTTTTTCATTTCTTTACAACTCTTTCCAATAATTTTCCTGTATTTTTCCAGTAAGAAAAGATTTTTTAACATGATTGTTTTCTTTTTCAAATGAATAGACTAACACAATGCATTTTTTTTCCAATGAATAGACTAACACAATGCTTTCTTTTTCCAATGAATAGACTAACGCCATGCTTTCTTTTTCCAATGAATAGACGAACACAATGTTTTCTTTTTCCAATGAATAGACTAACACAATGTTTTCTTTTTCCAATGAATAGACGAACACAATGTTTTCTTTTTCCAATGAACAGACTAACACAATGTTTTCTTTTTCCAATGAATAGACGAACACAATGTTTTCTTTTTCCAATGAATAGACTAACGCCTTAGAGCTGATGGTGAAGGTAGCTCAGGCTATCCAACAGGTCAATGAAAAACTGAACTTCAATGAAGTCATCCAACAGGAAGAGAATATACTCAAGTTATATAGGGAAACAATGCTCAAAATTTATGATTTTGGTTTTGAGGTAATCAGATTTTAATAAATCCTATGTTTATTTTCACTTCAAGTTTTCACATTGTCTTCTATCTGCATAAAGATGGGTTTTTGTTATATAGAAATATTATAATTCTTTATCTACTATCCTTTGATTTTCACTTGAAAAATTAGATTTTTAATTTTTGTGTTTAAATGAAACAAAAATAGAATTTTGTTTGGTAACCCCACTAGTGTGTTTGAGTAGATCTGCCCCTGATGAGACACTACAGCTATTCAAAGTTCAAATGACATTGATTACCAAAATAATTTTCCTAATATTCAATGCTGTTTCAGTACCAAAGAGAGTTGATGCGACTGATTTCCCGTGACCAGCGAGAAAAAATGTGCCAGCTGACAGTGTCATTTGCAAAAGACTGGATGAGTTTTGTGATAAACAAGTGTGAGAGAGGCAGGGGAACACGTCCCAGGTTAGTTAAAGATTGGTCTCCTGTTCATGTGTATTTTGAGTTGGCTTTTTTACCAACCCTGCAGTGTGGGAGAGCACAATTTTATAACATTTTATAAAAAGTATTAATTGATCCATGCAAGCGATCCCCCAAAAGCAATTTCTTGTAATGACCAATAAAAGTTACGGGGGTATTATTGTGATTAGTAGTACTGATACAAAGTAAGATATTTACACAGAGGCCTACATTTTGTGTTTTTGTGATAACTGAAAATAATTTCATTTTAAATATTGCACATAATCAGTTAGTTCCTCAAACTAAATTTTAACCAAAATTATTTTGTAAAACTTGACAATTTAAAACCATAACAAATGAAAAAAATTCTGGTCTCTAAAATAAAGATTAACTTTAAAAAAAAAATAAACAAACTAAAACAATATTTCATTTCATACTTATTTTTGAGTCTCATGTATATTTTAAAAAAAAATCTTACATTTAATATAATTTTAGTGAAATCTGTCTACATTTTAACTCTTTTTCTGTAGGTGGGCGACTCAAGGACTAGAATTTATCTCCCTTGCCTGTGAACCAAAGAACATTGTGTACCTGACAAATGAAGAGTATGAGGTACAATAAGCACCTGTTATTGGCTTGAACTAACCACAGTTTAAAATTACTGTAAAGTATTTTATTTGATTCATTTGTTCACTGTAACTGTTTTTAGAATGTATTCCATTTTTGAATGAAAATAATTTCTTTATTTAATGCACAGAATTTCCAGCACCACATGCTGAATTCACTGTCTCACATCATTGGTTCATCCGACAGGGCTGTAGGTCCTGGTGAGTTTTTTAAGTAGATCTTTTGGCTTGCTCAATGTTTAGAATATATTTTATTGCCTTTAAAAACCAATTTCACCATTCTATTAATAACTCAATTTAAAAAAAAGTTTATTTCAAGATTATAGTTTAAGGACATCTAACCCAGCATTGGTTTCAAACGTTTCTGTTTTTTAACACCACAGGGGTATTGTTAAACAGAAGTAACCTTGACCCCTATCGTGGTAGCCAACCATCAATGCAGAGGTTGGTCTCCTGCCCAGAGGCCCGTTTTAGCCGATCGTTTTCATCCCGGTCTGTTCAGAGTGAGCCGCCCAGCGCTCACCACTCCACAATAGGCCTCACGCCTACATCCAGTGCTAGTTCTAATTCATTTTTTGGAGACAACAGTAAGTACTTAAGTTACGAAAAGCAGTTAAGAATTGTTTTTTTTTAAATGTATAACAGTAGCTTTTTACATTTAGGTTCTCAAAAAAAACGTGTGTAGTAAAAATAATTGATGATTCCCTTTTTCAGTTTTATATTAGATGCGTTAACAATATTTACCTTTTTGTTTTCAAAAACACTTGAATGTCCATAGTTATGTGTGCAGCTAAATTTTGTATTAAAATGTTGACTGGGCTCATTAACAATTTTTTTAAATGAATTAGAATCTTATTTAACCTTTGAACTTCTTCCTTGTTTGTGTCTTGTAGTGTGTTTGAGTAGATCTGCCCGTAATAAAACCCTTTAATTTTATTATTGGTTCAATTGAATAGAACAAGAAGAACAATGTCAACAAATACTGAAATTTACTTGCACAGACTAGTTTGTACTTGTGAAATTTAGACCTTCTATACTCTACACTGTTATCACATATGCATATGTTATCATAAGTATTGTGACTAGATACTTACACTGTTATTTATTGCTGGTGTTGCACTCTACCCTATTTAGCATGCAAGTTTAATGATACTATATAAGCAGTCTGCAAATATGTATATATATTTATATATATTTATTGTACCAGATGACCCTGTATGCAATTGTTGAGCTGATATCATTGACCCACTTACATTAACTTTGTTGTTGTTCCATAGAGGAGAAACATGAGTAAAAACTCAGAATTGAAGAACATTTCAGGAAGTAGAGCTGCTATAACTCATATTGTATGTCTTGTATCTAATGTAAACTGGCACTAAATAAAACAATTAATATTCTAGGAGGTTCCAGACACTCCATTCCAGAAATTCCAGAAATTTCTGTTTTGGATACAGCTGATGGTCGAATATATCTTGACATTTCTCAGACTCGTCGGGGGTCAAGAGGTCAGCTGCTATGTCATCTGGCTTATTTTAAGTTGAAAACTTGGGCTAAGCTCTTTTGTTATGACTTTTCTTTCACTGCATGTCTGTAATCATAGAACTTGTTGGAGAAACTGCTTTTGTTCTCAGGTTTTGTTCTTTAACTCACCAATTGGTCACATTTTTAAAGGATTGCAACATGCTAATCATGCACCAGATCTTAGACACTTAAACAAAAATTGTTCTTCTAAATTAATTGCCCATGTTGAAAAAAATTTTTAAAGACATTTTCTAAGGCTTTGAGTTAGGAAATCATCTGCACTTGTTTTGCCTTACACAAGCTGTGCTGATAAAATGGCTTCCCTGTTCTAACAGTCTGGGAAAAAAAATAATGCATGAAAACTAATGCAATTAGGTTACACAATTTCTAGATAAAAGATCAGTCTTTAACCATTTTTTTTCTTTTTTTTAAATTCTGTATTTAATCACAATGGTGCTTCATATTTCTTGTGTTTGTGTTGTCACTATTTCTAGAAAAATGTTTCCTACTTAAGTTCACTGCTTATGTTACATCATGTATGTTTTAATACAGCAAGATTTATTGTGGACAAATGGAACCCTTGAACTACATGCTTTTGATATGCTATATAGACTAGATTACTTAGAACCTAGTTGATAAAGATGTTTTACATTCTTTAATCCATTAGCATTATTCAAACAGAAATAAGCAGATTGTAGAAACAGTATCAACATCCATTGGATATTAATAAAACAAAGTTCAGTCGGCTTCTAACAAGGGTATACTTGTACAGGAATCGGCTAATATTTTTCATTTTAATACATGTTTATCTGCTAAAATCCAAGCTATTAGTATTACAATTCTGCACAATATACTGTTGTGAGATTTTTATTATTATCACAGATAATATAAGCAATATTTCCTATGATCAGGTTGCTAGTTTTGAACCACAAGCTCAAAAACTGTCTAATGCCATGAAACTTTTTTTTTTTTGGGTTATTTTTTTCTTATTCTATCCTCATCAAGCAGTAATATTTATTGTATCAGTGGTTTGACTATTTGTTAAAAATAATTTTTTAGATTTTGTCACTGTTCATGTTTGTTTTATACAGCAACATTTAATGTGTGGTAAAATAGCCCCCCAGAACTGGTTTCCAGAAAAATGTGCAAACAGAAAAATGCATCAATACATATTCATTATACTTATACACTTTCAAGTTCCATTGCACAAATTCCCATTGCGGATTTCTCTGGGAACCCCTAGAACAACATGGTTCTAATATGCTATATAGACCTATATAGACCTAGAAAAGACTTAGAACCTAGCTGTTTTAGGGTGATAAATTGCTGTACACTAAAGTTACAGTTGCCTTTGTTGAGGTTGTGCTTTAGGTCCCCACAAGTTCATGTCCTTTACTTTCATTGTCTAGTGATGTTTAACCCACAATAATCAGCTCAATTTATTACCTATGTTGAACGTATTGTTGTGTTCTACTTATAACTTTTGGACCTTTGTGTTCTCTGAATAAATATTTTATGAAACATAGTTTGAGAATTAAATATTAACATTTTGAAAACATAAGATATTAACTTCACATCTATAGAACCCACCAAAAAGAAAAAAGAAAAACAACAGATGTGTAACTTAGGTTTTTTATTTTTTTTTAATTAACATAAAAGCTGATAATAATAATATCAATGTTATTGGTTTTTGTTAAATAATTTTGAAATGTTTCAGTTTGGTAAGATATAAAAATAATAAGTTCCTTAAAATGTTTCAGATTATTTTTCTGCAATAATTTGTAGTAGTTAGTTAACCTTTTTAAAAAACTTCATTCAGTCTTTGGTTGTAGCTGCATGCTGGGGTAGTCATAGAACATTGTATAGCCCAGAGGTTTGTTTTTCCTAGCAGTTAAAAATTGGTAGTCATAGAACATTGTATAGCCCAGAGGTTTGTTTTTTCTAGCAGTTAAAAATTAGTCTGAAATTTATGTTGCCATCAGATAAAAGTATATCAATAAAATACTAATTGTAATTTAAAATAAAATCAAGGGATATTTTTTTATTGGGTCTGAACAATGAGAAAGTTAAAATTCATATTTTAACAGAAAAAAATGTTATCAGATTTTTATACCACTTGTTCCAAACAATTTAAAAAATAGAATGGGCTTGATTTAATCTTAATGTAACTTTCAATGTCGATTTTTAAAATGTGTTGCGTAACTAAAAGATGTATAATAAGTAGTCTATTATGCTTTAGGTCTGAATGAAGCCGAGAAAGTAAAATCGCGAGCCCAGCGTTTACACGAGCAGATAGAAAAGCTTGAGGTTGACAGGGAGCAGAAGCTGATAGAAAAAAGGATCATAGGTCATGTGACCACCAGGGTACAAGAGCCAGACTACCGCATGAATGTTCGTCGTGTCAACTTCAGGTGGCAGCGAGGAATCAAAATAGGTCAGCAATACATTCTTAATTAAATTTTTTTAATTGATGGGGAAATTTGATTCCGTAAAAGGTAATCCATGTCAAAATGTTATTAAATGTAACTTTTTTTTTCAAGGTGAAGGTCAGTTTGGAAAAGTCTATACTGCAGTCAATATTAATACTGGTGAACTGATGGCAATGAAAGAGGTAACCACTGTTCTTTATTTAGAAGATACAGTGATATATTTTTTTTCATTCATCATACTAGTTAGTACTCCACCTGATTATTAGCCAATTATTTTACAACACTTATGAGATAAAGTTTTAAAAATTGATGTTTTAACATGAATATCATTATCTTAATTTTTGTATCAGAAATGTGTAAAAACATTAAATTTGAGAAACTGTTTATATTTTTTTAGATGAAGTTCCAGCCAAATGATCAGCAGTCCTTGAAAGAAATCTGTGATGAAATTAAAAATTTTGAAGGCATTAATCACAGAAATTTAGTCAAGTATTATGGTGTGGAAGTCCATAAAGTGAGTTATTGTTTCAGAAAATTTGTAAATAATGTTGTCTGAGAATATCTCCCATCCAGAATCAGAAGGTTAACCTTAAGAGTCACTTATAGGTATTTTACCTATGTAAAGGCCCTTGATCATTGTACTTTATTCACAGTCCCTTCATATGTTGTTACCATCAGAACAGATTACCACAATTTTTTTTTTCTATAGGCTTTTAATGATCTATGCATATTATATTTTAACTATACGATTCAAAAGCCTGTCTTTGTTTTCAGGATGAGATGTTGATGTTCATGGAATATTGCGACAGTGGCTCTATAGAAGAAGTTGCTAGAATTGGCCTCCCAGAATACATGATTAGACGATACACCAATGAGATTGTTCATGCCATCGCCCACCTACATGAAAATAATATTGTCCACAGAGACATCAAAGGTAGGTGTTCAACTAGGGGGTAGGTCTCAGATAAGGTTATATACTGAATGTAGATTCTTGAAAAGCCTTGATATGTTCATTTTTGGGTTAGACACACCCTTTGTAAATATCAAAAGATAAAGCATTTTGATTTCTTATAATGAAGATTGAAATGGAAATATTATTTGCCATGGTTTTTTCCAAATGCTACAAAACTCACCTTCATCGTTATTTCTGTGGAGATTAGGTATGCAGCCACATTCTTCATTTTGGGTGATTCCTCTAAACTATGACCTTGACATTCTGGCTACTTTTGCTTTGATCTGATCTTTTCCATGTTTGCTTCAGCCTATTCATTTAATTTGCTGGTTTGGGCAAGACGTGTCAGACTTATCCCCAGTTGCACTTTTGTATATCTTGGCATATCTTGCGTGGTTTTTCCTATAGCTTGATGTAAACAAGAAAGTTGTTTCATTTTGTATGCAATGCAATTACTTCCATCTTTACATATATTTTATTTGTTCTTGAAATAATTTTAGGTGTTCATATCTTCTAACCTAATGTATGTATAAGTATTTGCTACGAGTGCAAAATTGAATTATGTTTATATAAAAAAATAATGTGTTTATTAAGGGATTTATTTATGCTTGTTCATTAGGAGCCAACATATTCCTGACTTCACAAGGTCACGTCAAACTTGGAGACTTTGGTTGTTCTGTCAAGCTAAAGAGTCAGCAGACTATGCCAGGAGAAAATATAAACTTAGTTGGCACAACAGGTACATTCTATGGAATTTTTCAAATAAAAATTCATTCTGATTTAGATTTTTTTTTTCAGAATATTTAATTTAAAAAAGAAATTGTAATATAAAACAATATTAGAAAATATAACAGGATAAATTTGACCCAAAAAGAGCAACAAAAAAAGAGTTTCTAATAAGTTAATTTCAAATGTTTTTATTTTAACATCAACAAAAAAAAACAAAAAAAAAATGTATCACTAGCTAGTTGATAATGAAAAAATAAATTTTGCAGCATATATGGCACCAGAAGTGATCACACAAAACATCCAAGAAGGTTATGGAAGAGCTGCTGATATCTGGTCTCTGGGCTGTGTTGTCATTGAAATGGCTACTGGGAAGGTGAAGGTCATTTTTAATATTCTTGTAAACAGTCAGTAACTTGACAATGTTTAAGTTTTACATTTTACCAAATAGTATTGATTGTATTTGTAAGTATAAATTAGTGAGAGACCTGTATGAATATGTTTTCTTCCTGTAGCGCCCATGGCATGAATTGGAGCACAACCTGCAGGTGATGTTCAAGGTGGGGACAGGTCACACGCCACCAATCCCAGAGTGCCTGAGTAAAGAGGGAAAAAATTTTCTCAGCTGTTGCTTGGTTCATGAGCCGTCTAAACGCTCAACAGCGGCTCAACTGCTAGACCACATGTTTGTAAAGGTAAGGAGGGTCTTTCTACAGCCAGAGGCTCAACTGCTAGATCACATGTTTGTAAAGGTAAGGAGGATCTTTCTACAGCCAGAGGCTCAACTGCTAGATCACATGTTTGTAAAGGTAAGGAGGATCTTTCTACAGCCAGAGGCTCAACTGCTAGATCACATGTTTGTAAAGGTAAGGAGGATCTTTCTACAGCCAGAGGCTCAACTGCGAGATCACATGTTTTACAGTCAAATAAACCTTTCATACAACCTTTTTTGCATATAGACTATAAAATGAAACTTTTATAAAGTAAACACATTCAGGTCAGTAAAGGTTAAATATTGCAAGTATTTGTATGAAGTGTATTGGTAATTTATTATTATTTGTGGCTTTGCACAATGGCATTTGTAATAAAATCTTAACATTTCTTTCCCAGTGTTACGATGATGTTGAGGAAAATGAATCCGATGATGATTCCTGACACTGTAAGGAAAATTAACTCATTAAGTTTCATGATGGTGCTTAAAAAGTTTAAACCACACTAAGTTTATAAAAATCCTGAGTTTTTATGCAGTAATATGCATAATAGTGCTTTAAAAATGTAATACTATTAGTATTTATGAATTTATTTCATTCAGATAAATAACACTGGGATATTAAGACTAGCTGAACCTTAAATGTTCATGTAAACATTTTAGACAAAAATACTTTTATTACTTTAGAAAAAATTTTTTGAAAGAAAACTAGTTTGGTTTTTAAAATTAGTTGTAAAGATTATTTTGTTTCCTTTTGTTTCATTTAGTAAGATACCTGCATGTTAAAAATGTATTGTTTTACTATTCTGATTTTAAAGTTCTCCAGTATTTAGCTAAATGATATTGCATATGGTCATCAAGGCTTTGAATAATTGTCCCTATCCTTAAACTAAAAGAGAGCTGGTCTTTCTTGATCCAGTATTTGACACATATCCTTGTGATTCATTCTTACAAAGCAATAAAACAAAATAATTTTATTCATTTATATTTTTAGATATTTGTTTTCACTTGAGGTAACATTTAGGCAGTCTGTTTTTTTTTTGTGTTTTGAAGTATAGTCAGAGTAGAATCAAGCAAGTGTTGTGTTGTAGTTGTTTTTTTTATCAACAATGAAAGCTGGATGATTTACTAAGAATATGTAAACAAAAGCTTCGTTTACATAAAACTTAAATTCATCTTTTATACTGCTTTTTGTTTTAAAATTTTATCATGCTGTGTTAAAAAATTGTTAATGTAATGTAAATATTTAAAATAATCAAGACTTTATTTCATCACATTGAGAATCCTGAGATGCTGTACACTTGTATGAAATCCAAAATGACATATTTAGTCAATTCAAGTGAATGCAGTGTTTGATGTAAACAGAACAACTGGCAAAAGTAATCAGTTAATCATTGTACATTGTAATGAGTAGAAAAAAGATCTTTAAAATTTAAGAACTAATTTAAGTCCTAATCATTTTCTAATCAGATAGTAAAATGAAAATTAAGATCACTTCTAATTTTTTAAATATAGTTTTAAACTTTTATCTTTAGGCCTATGTGATTTATTTTTTTTAAATAATAAGGGAAATTATTATGTTAGTATTCTTTTATTTAAAAACAATAAGGTAGTATTGTATTTTAGATGAACTTAGCATATTTAGAAAACTAACAGTAGTAATAGTAGTTAATATATTAAGGACTTCCTTAACTGGTCATTTTTTTTTCTTACTTCTGGATATACATTCATAAAAATATTTATTTTTTATAATAGTAGTAGTAGTGTTGCAAGTTATTCCTAATTATCCAGATTTTAAAAAGAATTACAACTGTGATTGATTACAAATTGGCATCTTCGCTGGCGAAGACTTTTCGTATCATTGTTCTGATTTAAAGTAATTGTGTTGTTCTTATTGTTGATGTAATCTTAATCTAACTACAGTTGCAAATGAGATGAGCATTATACACAAGTTTTAATGATGATTCTCATTCAGCTTCATTTCCATTTTTGAATAATCATCTAGACGGAACTGTATGGTTTGTAAAGATTGTTTTTAAACAGTGAACATTGTTAAACTCACACAGTATATTTCAGAACAAGTTAACATCATTTCCTGCTTTAATCCAAGTCTTTCCCCATAGCCTATTTTGGCTTTTTTCTAGAATTTATGTTGCAACTGGAATTAGAAACTGAATGAAAACCTCCACACATGGTAAAATAGATTGTCATATAGCATAATAACACTAATTCACTATTATAAACTTAAACATAGCAACTGTCTCTGTTTTTTGTTACTGCATAAGAGTGCTAGTCAAACTGGTAAAGAAACTGAATATTTTAAATTTGTACAACACAGATATTTTAGCTGACAAAAACTTTTTAAATATTGTAAATGTGTATAACAGATATCATTGTAGCTGACAAAAACTTTTTAAATTATTTTGTTAATCAGTTTTAAACTGGACTAAGTTACTTAGACTTGATAATGCATTTTAGTTTAAGCCTTGAATGATTCAAAGCAAACAAGTGATTGCTACATAATGACTAACAAGAGCTGCACATACAAAGGTGAATTGTCTCATTGAAATTGCATAAAGAAAAATTATTTTCTCTTCAAAAAAACCATAAATATTGTCAGGGACTTGTTTTAATGCATAATTACTATCAGAATCTCCTTACAGTACTTTACTAAGAAGCTAGAGTTCCAATATGTGAAATGTTACAGAAAGCCATTTGTATGCTGTCTTTACATGAAGAAAGTATTAAAAGAATGCCCTTGTTATCTCAGTGTTTCAGAAGTTGAATGCTATCACTGTGATACTTGCAGCTGAGATTTGTTTTTTATTTCAAATTAAATTTATATGTTGAATTGTTTTGTATGTCTGTGTGTGAAGATTGACAGTGCATACATTTTATAACAGTCAGGCTGCTGACAGAGCAATTTCTTTAATGGTGTTTATTGATGCAAACTATTTAACATGTTCTTAAAATATACAAATTTCTAACAAAATTAAACTCTGGTTTTAAACTTGTTTTCTTTGTTGATTATTATTAAAAATGAATACAAGACTTTGTTTGGCCTAATAGCAAGGATCCCCTAAAGAGGAAACACCTAGGAATAATAGTTTGTGACCAAATGTGTAGAGGGTATGGTGTCTGCAGACATGCCTACCGTCCCGCTTTTTCACCTAAAAAATTAATTTGTTCCGTCATTCCGAATTTGACTCAGTTGGTTCCGATTTTTTTGAAAAAAAAATTAATAAAGAGAGGTAATAAAGTAAATTGAAAAAAGGCAGGAAAAAGCGATTATCTCCCTTTGGCACTCGTTTCCGTTTCCTAGTTTACTTACAATATTTACAAGTATCATCTAATTCTAGATCTAGTTAGTAGTATATCTACTACTAGATCTAGAATTGTAACTAGATCTACTAGTAGATACTGAAATAGTGAATACTGATCTATCTTGTACTTGTAAGTTTAACTTAACTAGTAACTAGGAGTTTTACTAGGTAGATCAAGGATCTTTGCTCATAACTTATGTTATATATTACATATGATGAAACCTTCAGCATTTGTTATTCATATAGCCTAGAACATAGCAAGACATAAATAATCAAATCAATATTGTTAAGTCAAAGCTATGATTTTTTTTCGGGGGGGTGGTCTCAGGTTACTGGTTAATTTTTTTTTTTTTTAAATGTAAGCTGACATTAAGCAGTATTTAAATGTATCCTAGAGACTATTTATATAGGAAGAGAAGCCTACTAATGTCATTAGAGTAATTTTTAATTAATAATTTTTATTTTTGACTTAGTAAAGTTGCGTCTGCGCGTATGTTCCTCTTTTTGGCTTCAAATTCCTCCTTTTAGGCATGACTGTTCCTACTTTTGGCTGACAGGGGTAGGCATGTCTGTGTCTGTAATTGGTATGCAGAAGAAATAAAGTTTATAAAGTACTGTGTGAAAATTTTGTTTAAAAAATGTTCATTTGATTATCATAAAAGCGAAGGACGGCAGGGCTTAATTTCGGTTCAAGTTCAACTGAAAACAGCATTCGCTGGAGAGATGTAGTTGTAGCCCCTTGCTCACAGGATTAAGTTGAGTCATGAAATCATAAATAATAAATAGGAAAACAACAAGAATAACAGATTCAATTTTAATTGTATAAAAAAAAAATCAAACAAATTTTGAAAACACAATGGGATGACAGGAGTAAGCAGCATTTATGGTGTGGATGGAATACTCGTTAGTACATTATATGCACAATTTTTAAAATTGTTACATTGAATAATAAATGCAGGATCAATTAAATGCCAAAATGTTAAAAATAAAATAACATTACAATCATACAATATGTAACCACTTAAATATCTATGTGATATATCTAAAAAATCTGCTTACATATTAAAAGAAAGTTCACACTTAAAATAGCATTAAATAACCAGTAGTGTTAGCAGTATCACCAATGTGATAAGAAATAAAGGTGCCCTCTTGCATATAAATAGATGGGATGATGTGGCCAGTTTGATGTCCAGCGACCTTTACTTTCCCTTATGCTTGTAAGGTACCTATCACAGCTGTGTGACCTCAGAGGTGACATCCAGGCTAGTAGTTGTGTGCTCCACCACCCAACCACGCTGTCACATGATAGGTCAAAGGGGAAGGGCTAAAATCTTGTTTGAAGTAAAGTTCAACAATTTAATAAATGCTTATAAATTCATTTTAATTAACTTGTTTATACTTAACTCAATGGACCATCTGAGATTCAAAATATTGAGATAAAAAACAAGACAGTTTCATAGTTAATTACAGTTAACACTCATTTTACACCTTAAGTTAAAGTTAAAAGTACATTAACTCTAGCATTCATTCTGTTTCTGAGTACAAGAATTTTTTTTCTCTATCTTAAACTACACATTGAAAGAAATCCCTCTGATCAAACATCATGTTGAAGGTCATAGTTCCGATGATGTTGAGAGGAAAGATTACAAATATCTTTATTAATCGTTATCAGATATAAAAGTCATTAAACAATGAACTTCTAATAATTCTTATACACAGGCTATCATATCAAATATGCAGATGTTTCACGTGGACTGAACCATACACAAGTTTGTAAATGAACTCTTTTCACACAATTTGAAGCAGAAAAACCTGGCAATGCAGGTGAACTCCTTTTAATTAAAAATGAAAGTACAAATGTATTATTACCCAACATGCATGACACAGCAATTTCTTTATGGATTATCTTCTAGGTTAGTTGTGAGATTATCTCCTACTGCAGGATCATTATCAATGATTAATGTTGAACATCTTAAGAAGACTGTGAATAATACATCACTCCTAAAGATGTACTGGAGAACCAGGCAGTAACAACCCACCAGAGAAAGTAGGTAATTACACCCCTGTACCAGACTGAACTGAAGATGCCTTTAATGTCTCCAAGAGCTCCAGTTAAGTGAGCCGCTGAGTCCATTATTGAGTTCACGGCGCTGCTATCAATATTGATACTGGGATACTTTGTGACCGGCTTTGTGCCACCATTAAAGAATTCCTCAGCTGTTTCTCCAAACAGACTAGACCACGAAAATCCACCAAGTGTTTTAAGAAGGAATGTTGTGAACAGAATCAAAAGAATGGGGGCAGCGTATTGTATGGCTACAACACAAAGATAATAAAAGACTCGAGCTACAGTTTTTTGTAATTCAGTGTTTGATATCCTTCCTGTTTCCTTTTTAATATTCTCTACTTTCTCATGGGCGAGATTGAGGTGAGTCTGGAGAAATACTGGCATTAGCATCAAGCGGAGGCCGCACATGATAATTAGAATATGCAATCTGAATCCATCAAACTGGTTCTCATAAAACAGAGATTTACCAAACCTCATTGTTTTCCCACACAAGAGATCCCTCCCCACTGGTTTCACCCACAACAAAATTAAAACAAACGGAAGTACATAATTAAGTTGCACAATCATCTGCATTATTTTTCTGCCTTGAGTGTACTTAAGTGTGTCAAGGTGTAGTTTTGCCATTCGCAAGCCAGGAAAGGTAAGCAAAGCTCCGACTAACATACCCATCACCGCTAGCACAATTTTAAAGGTAAGAAAAGAGACAGGCCCATGAGAAGATGTCCCTTGTTTTTCTAGAAATTCTATAGCATTTAATGAAAAGTTTTTGTAGCCTTCTTCAATTCCAAATTCAATGATGTTATCACCAACTACAAGAACTCCCATGGCAAACACTAGAAAGAAGAAAGTGAAGGTGAACAAAAGCACCCGCTCCCCTCCTTCTTCAGTCCTCATGTAAAGCCATGCCTGACTTGCCAAGATCTTTACACAAAATGCAACAGCTAAAAGGCACCACAACACACTCAAATTGAATTCAATACGATGAGGAGTGATGACATAATATATTTCAGTCAAAACATAAATGACCAAAGCACTGAGTGAAAAGTCCATCAGCCAAGTGTATTCAGAATAATACTGTAGTGTAACAAGATCGATATCTTCAACTTGAGCTTGGTCAAGCTCAAGAGGAATATTTCTTGGTACAGTGAATGTTTCATCAGGACTAGCGGCCTGTGTGTTTTTTCTACGCTTGGCTTTACCAGACAGATTTGCTGGTTTTCCAGTGGTGTTCCCAGCAGCTAGCTGCTTCAGCTCTTCATTTGTTGGATGTAAATAACGATAAAGTCGCTTTGAAAGAATCCAACGACCTATTGAATAATATGGTGCTAGCTTATGAAGAAATGTAAACATAACTAAACTGAAAACAACTTGGACTCCTAATATTGCCATTGTAAGTCAATATACCTCAGGAAATCTGAAATAGAAAATTAATGTATCAAAGGTTATTATTTAAAAATAAAAATGTAATAGATTTTGCAATAACTGAACCTAATATGAAGCTATGGTTGATGTGGTCTATAAGAGAATGCCAACTCACCATCCCAAAGGCCAAAGTCGTTACATTGATACCCCATACTTATCCTTACTAGCTGGGGCAATAGCCTCCAGTAAGAATGGTCTCAAAATGACATTTGTTTATTTTATTTTTATTTTGTGTGTTGTCATTCAAATAAATAAAAACTTGATTGTGAGGAGAAATTAAAGTTTTTAATAAACAATTGTTTTTTCACATTAAAAGTGAAACTTAAGGCTGATGTAAATAAATAGAAATGTAGCCCTATAGGTTGCAGTATTCAAAGTGCACATTTAGTAATATACTAATTTAAAAGTATATTACCCCTTGCAGACCTAATAATGCATTGAACAGATGACCTTGCCATACAAAGGATGGTGGGGGCAGCACATTAATTTCTTTAAAGTGCACCAGATAGGCCTACCCATCAGAGCTGGTTTGACTTTGGGAAATTCTATATATGGACTCAGGCGAGGGAACCAAGCTCAACACTTACTGGTTAGTAGTTGCTGAGATGCACAAGCTATACCATAAAAAACCACCCCATAATATTACCAGTAATTAGGCCTATTATTGTAAATTTAATTTCTATGCGCCTAATCTAATATTTTATAACATGTGGCAAAATTAATAACTTATTAACAAGTAATGTGTACAGTGCTAGATTATTAATTGATAATGTAATATAAGGATCTTATATTATTACTATTACTAGGCCTAAAGGTGGAGCATGGAAAGTATTGGAAAATAAAAAGTATATTTTAAACAAATTAGGAAAAATTATTTCTGTCAATAAAAAAAAATGCAAAATAAGACGATTTACATCATCTTAGGCTATGAAAGAAAAATATGATGTAGGCCTACGATGATTTCGTTAATGACCTATCAGAGCTGGGATCTGATTGTTTTTAAACTTATGTTTCAATTGTTTGAAATGTTCAAAAATTAAATTGAAATATTGTGAAATGTTTTAGAAAATTGCCACAGTCACCGCCCCCTTCTAAGAGACGGAGTGGTCTAGCGGTAGAGAGCTGGACTGCTAACCCGTAAGTCTCGAGTTCGAATCTGGGTTCAAGTCAGTAGACCGTCCATGGGTCCACCCAACTCTAATGGGTACCTAACTCACGTTAGAGAAAGTAAAAGGCGGCATAGCATAGTGCTGACCACTCTATCTCTTCACTTGCCCCATAGACCATCAGGTTTGAAAGGAAAATTTTACTTTACTTTTTACTGCCCCCGTCTGCTTAATATTAAAAAAAAAAATCACTTTTTTTACTTAGGTGATTATGCAGTTACATTTTTACATTTCTGATACATGTATTTTCCTTAACACAAGAACTGACGATTTAATGTATAACCCACATTTTAAGTGCAGTTTTTTTTTTTAAATGAAAGTATTTTGTTGTTAAATTCAACATGTGGACGTCCATGTCAACCACCACCCCCCCCTCACACAACTGCATTTTCTTTATACCAGACAATAGAATCTTCTTAAAAAGGGGTGTACGGTTACTGGTAGAGAGGTAGTTAACTAAAACACACACATGGCTTGCTAAGTTATTTTTTTTTTTTTTTATTATAGGACATCAGTGTCTTAGTCTAGTATCTAAAACTAAAACAATACATCCAATATATTTATTAGGCTATTAATTTTATTATTAGTTAGTTAGTTAGATCTAGTAGTACTAACTAGGGTAAACCTCCATTTTAGCGTATTTTATTCGCCGTTCACATTCACCTCCTGTTGAGCGTATTTTATTATAAACATAACCAAAACACACAAAAACGTCAGGAAAACACTAGGATTAGAGCTAGATTTTTTTCATATAGATCTATATGAATATGAGTTTTAATTAGAAAAGGTTAAAAAAACATAAAAAAGCATTAGGATAGTTCCAATTAATAGCGTGTGATCCTCAGCGGGGGAAAAAATCCTAACACTGTCGAGGGTTCACGGTGAGTTCACTTTGACTTTATTTTTATTAGCATACAGCATACGTCGTAGCTTGGGCAATAGCTATTAGGAATGGTGTTGGCCTCAGTTTTGGGGTCATCATGAGTTCATAAAAGTTTATTTAATAATATTTATAGTAGTAGGCTATAGCGTATTTTATTCCCTGCTTCACCTTCACCTCCAGTTGAGCGTATTTCATTATAAACACAACCGTAACACACAAAAAAGTTAGGAAAATATTGGGCTTATTAATTATTTCTCTATGAAGTTTTGATTTAGATCTAGATCTAGTAATGATAATTTACTTTTGTCGAAACTTGATAAAAATCCTAATTTGGAATATTGAATGCTAACTAACTAGATCTATAGCCGAGGCTAAATTGGAGTTTTTTAGCCTTAACTACTAAGAACTAAGAAGTTAACTAATAACTAGATCTTAACTAAGTTAAGTACAAAGTACGGTAAAATCTTAGTTTAGCGTCGTAAATTCGGCCAAAACTAGTAATGTGGGAGAGAGTGAATTAATGAATATGTCATTAAATATGAGTATATTTTCGTATATTTTGATAAAATATTATAGATAATTGAATAATAGATCACCATTTATGGTTAAATCAATTTAAGTATCCTGAAATTAATTTTTATCAGCCCTGTTCGAGATAGTAAATTTGCTATTAAAAACTGCAGCCATCTTAAGAAAATGTTATTTAGAGTAGCTTCCCTTTCATTTCTATTCGTATGAAAATGTATTTAAATATGATTGTCTTGTTGTATAGTCCGTATTACAAAGCATTTTTTTTTTAAATTCTGCCCTTTAAAAACTGAATTTCCTAACAAACAACTTTATTAATTCTAGAAGCATTGTGAGATGCAACTTGTATCCATGTATTAAATCACGTTTTTTTTACTAATGTTTATTTGATCTTACTATTACTATAAAGTTTGAGTTTTTTCTTATTGTTTGAATGTTCACTATTTTCATTTCAGGTTTTTCTTTTCATCAATTAGTGATTCTATCGTAGCTTATGACATTTTTTTTTACTTCTCTTTACCTTAATTAAACCCCAACCTCCGTCATATTTTTGTTGTCAATGTCACAACAAGTCATAATGTAAAAAAAATAAGCTTCACTCTGCCTTATCTAAGATCTCTAACCATAATTTTGACAACATTAAATGTTTGTCATCATTTATATATGCAGAGAGACAAAATGTATTATCCACCAGCTTCCCTCGTAAAACATCATTTAAAACAATGAGCCAGTCCACCCCTTAAGTGCGTGTTGTCATTATGGTCGATCACAAGTCTCCACCTGCCAAACACATGTTGGTTATCCTTTGTTGTCAAATTGTTAATATCAAGTACCCAAGTGAGTGATATGGGGTTGTCCATAAATGATGTCACATATGATTTGCTACGAGAGTGAGTGAAGATTTGTGACGTCAACTCAGGCGGCTCTGCAAATTATGACGTGTCGGTATCATGACAGGAGGTGAACGGGGGAAAATACCTAGGTGGTTGACGGAGAACCTCTATAATGCTTTGTTCAATCAAAATAACGATAAATAAGCATTACTATACATATACCTTGCTCAAACCGAATCATCACGAATATTGCAAGCCTGCTAGTTTAAGACATTTGGCAAAACGGCCTCAACACATTATCCCCGTCAAAAAGGCTTGCCACCAAATACCTGCCGATAAATAAGCCGCGTCTAATGCGGGGCGTTAGGAATACGGCCATTAGCATGGGCCGCGTTAGAGCACCAGTAGGCTATCGCGCTTTGTAAGATGACGTAAATACTTAAATTCAATTTCGCTAAACTGCGCGAAAATTTAGTAATGTTCCATCGCTTGAGGAAATTTATTTTCGTGGACTTAAATTGAAATATCATGTTGACTGTCGTTCTCTTAATTTCCGAACATATGTATCAAGATTCAGAACTATAATTTACTTTAATATAAGTGTCATCTTATCGTTTATTGTGCTTTTTATAATGCGCAGAGCAGCTTCGGACGGCCATCCTGTTGTCACCGAGCTTTTTTTGGAGCTTAATATGGGTAGTCTAGTTCTATACGGTGAGAGCTTAATACATTTTTCAAGGACCGAAAGTCTCAAGACAGCAAGCTTGCAGAAATAACCACGTACGTTTAAATGGACAAGTGATAGATGTGTTAGGGGCTGTTTAATCAACACCAACTTATGTAATAAAATTAAACGTCGCTTAAACGTCAAAACGGCAGTGCTTGTTTTTTTTTCTATAAAATTAGCCTAACGGTCGGCGGTACCGGTACATGACGTCACGCGCGAGCGTTAACTCGGTGACGATGTGCTAAGTGGGGGAATGAAAAGGTGGGGTTCAAGAAATGCGACTCAGCATGCTTTTTTACATTTCTTGACCCTTCTTAATAGTTCTATCGTCCCCACTGAGAAAATGGATCACCAATGAATGACGCGTCATACTTCTACAGCTGGTCTTTCTCCCACAACCATCCCCTGTTTTCACAAAAAAAAACCTGACCCGTCTCCAAAATCACATCGCTGAGTTCTACTCAACCTCTCCCCACCACAAATCACAACTAAGAGCGACGTCATTTATGAGCGATCTAATATTGATTTGCTTACTGCAAATAAAGTGTTCACAAGTTCGACCTCCCAACAATTGTTCATGTCAACTATATTTTTAAAAAAAGAAAAATTACTATACAAGGGGTCATCCATAAAAGACGTCACGCTTTTTTTGACGATTTTTACCTCCCCCCTCCCCTCCGTCGCACGTCGTCACAAAAAGCCAGACCCCCCCCTAAAATGACGTCACACCAGATGCGTAGCGACCCTTCTCGGCGCCCGGGGACACACTTTCGATTTGCACCCCCCCTCAACCTTTTGATTTGCACCCCCCTTCAAACTTTCGATTAGCACCCCCCCTCAAACTTTCGATTACTTTTTCCAACCCATTTTGGTGCCCCCTAAGGTCGGCGCCCGGGGACATATGTCCCACCTGCCCCCCCCCCCCCCCCCCATCGATACGCCTCTGCGTCGCACCTCAGCCTACAACCCCCCCACCCCCTCAAAATGGCAGTTGAATTGTTTTTAAACAGCTATATTTTTCCAAAATCTTGTCTGAACTCTGTCAAAATAGAGTATTTTAATCAATTGTAATATCAATATATTAAAACAGTTTCTAAAACACAAAATAACGTCTAAAATTCGTTTTCTAACATTGCTTTTTTTTAAATGCAAGAGTGTGACGTCGCACCATCTATACTCCCCCCCCCTCATCACACAACGTCACAAAATTACGGACCCCCCTCCGCCCTACGAGTGTGACGTCATTTATGGACGACCCCCAGGCATATATTAAATCAATACAAAACAATCATATTAAACCACAAAATCAACACAAAACACATGCGAATAGACAATTTATGGTTTTTTAAACATGGCCGCTGCTTGTATTTACTAATTGTTGTCTAGAACGGGGTAGTTTAAAGTTTATTCCAGGATATTTTTTATTGTTTTTGTCGTGGATTGTGATTTGTTATTCAATTATCTGTTATATTATGTAAAATATGACATAAATATGGCCAAATGAAAGAAATATTCATTAGTTACCTTCATCGCACATTACTAGCTACGTTGGAATTTACGACGCTAAACTAAGATTTTACCCTAAGTAGTAAGTACAAGTAGTCTAGCTACAAACTACTAGAGTCTAGCTCTAGATACTAGATTTTACTTCCACATGTTACTATGTTACATGTACATTCACATTAAATTTAATAAATTAATTTTGTTTAGAATTTTTAGAATTTAGATCTAGTTTTGAGGCCATCAGCAGAGTATCAATCAGACTCAGACCAGACAACATCACATGCTGGAAAACAGGCAGTACCCAGTGTCTAGTCTAGATTCTAGTCCATAGAATATAGATCTACAACACATCATTATTTACACTACGCTAATACTACTAGACTCTAGATCTAATAGCAACATACATTAGTTTACCTCTGCTTCAATTTTTTTATTTTGAATTTTTTAAAACCATGCAATCCTCGTTGCTTCCTGACATTGAAAAGAGGTCAGAGGTCATATTTTTTTCTTCGAACCGGAAGAAATTATTTTAGGCTAACCTACATTACGTTGGCCAATCGGTGATTGTTTAGTATATTTTACAAGGGGGTTTCAGTGTTTTGGTGTAGCCACGTTCATAAATAGAACTGCTAACATTCATCAACGAATTTATCGAAGGTTACACGACTATAATAAAAAATATCCTCATAGCAATAAATGTTAGTTAACTGCACTAACAACATCGCTGTTATTATTCATAGAATACAATGGAAGGAAGATACAATACAAGAAGTCCAGGTAGGTTATACAAAAAATACAAGTTAAATTAAAGTTTATTATTAGTAGGCCTAGGCCTAATTTCATTTATTAGGCCTAAAGAAAGTGTTGTCTAGTCTTTTTTATAGTAGAATCTAGTAGCCAGTTGAGTATGAGTAGGCACTGGGTATTGTCTTTATTCAGCATTTTACTTTTTAGAGTATGATTATCACTATAGTAAAATAATATATACAATACCAAGTTCACTAGGTCTATAAAATATCTTCACAAGAACGCTCTAGAGAAAATACAAGGAAATTATATTAATTTAAGAGTTGCACAGGGAACCTATTGCCACTATTGGAAATTTTCAAAACAAAAATGCAACTATGACAATGTTCATTTTTTGATACTTGATAATAAAGAGACTAACATTAGGCCTACAGCCTAATTTATTTGTCTAATTTTAAAATTGGTCTTCTGCATTCATCTCTTCCGAACCCCACCACCACCACCACCACCAGAACAAAATATGATTCATATAGAAAAAATATACTTACCAGTGTCTGCCCCCTAGTTACAGAATATAGACTAATAGACTACTACATAATCCCTGAGTATTAACAGCAGATATTTTTTTCAGCTGTGAAGCGATTAATGAGAGAGGCTCAAGAGCTAAGTGAACCCACAGATCAGTATTATGCTCAGCCATTAGAGGTAACCTAGGAATATTTTTGGCACAATATAAATATAAGGTCATATTTTAAAAATTAAAAAAAAACATATTAAACAATGGGAGGTACTTTATATTAAATAACTTCTGTATTTTAAAAATAAAACTGTTAAGTCTGTTATTTTATTTTGACTGCAACTTTGTCATCATGAAAAATTAGACTCAAATAATCAGGAGCTTCTACAACTCTCTCTATACGAAAACCGGCTCAGAAGGTTGACTTCCATTAGCCAGGCAGGCCTCATTGTAGCAAACTCCGACCACAAGAGTTTCCCACACATCGGTCGCTACTTCCGTCGGCTCTCACCTGGCTTTCCTTCCCCACCCACCAGACGCAGGACGTCGTCCAACTGCCTGGTACCCAGCTTGATCGTGGGGGGCGTTCGGCCCGATCAAAAACCTCTAGCTGCCGTTGGCTACCACTAGCCATTCCGTACCCATTAGGGGGGTCATGAGCTTGGTCCGACTAGTGGCACTCTTCCGAAGCCACGTGAAGGCCACAGCTTAAAGTCAAAATATCTGGTTAGGGTCGAGAGCAAACCCTTTTTGGTTCCCGGCAGTCTTGCACCTCTCCTCCCCACGCTATTATGTAGGGGACTTGGGAGTCCGACGTACCAGGCTCTTCTATCAGGTTTAATATTAACTTTTTTCATAGGACAATCTGTTTGAGTGGCATTTTACAGTTCGAGGCCCAGCTGATTCAGACTTTCACAATGGAATATATCATGGGAGAATCATTTTGCCTGTTGACTATCCAATGAAACCCCCAAGCATTATATGGCTAACAGTGAGTGTTATATGCAATATGTTTGTATATATTGTCTCTTGTTCAAATTGGTTATCCCTACCAGACAGTTTTTGAAAAGCTGATTTGACCTAATAACTAATACACAACTTAAAAATTTAAATTGTACAATAATTGGTATATTTAAGTGATGAAATTATATCTGTCATTCAATTTTCAATGGTGATTTTTTTCAGTTAGGTGCTGGTAGCATTCTGTGTTACTTGTCTATACATAGCTTTGATGCTCTAATGCCTTTTTGTTTCTAAATTCTAGCCAAATGGTCGTTTTGAAACAAACAAAAAAATCTGTTTAAGTATCTCTGGTCATCACCCTGAATCTTGGCAACCATCATGGTCTAGTAAGAAATGCTTACATTTGAAACTAGATAAATTGTTAAATAAGGATACTCAGATAAAAAAATAATTAATACCAACTGTAGTTCATTTATCAGTAAACACAAATATCTTCATTGTAATCTTTGATATCTGGTTTCAGTTCGTACAGCTTTGCTGGCTATCATAGGATTTATGCCCACTCATCCAGGAGGAGCTATTGGGTCCTTAGACTACAAGCCAGAAGAAAGAAAATTACTTGCTAAAAAGTTAGTTTAATTTTTTACTTTTTACAAAATCTGTCATCACTTTGGTTAAATGTTTATTGTGTATGTTTAATCCTAGAAAATTCGAGGTTTTTTGGTTAAGTATCATTTTGATTTTTACAACAAAGTCACTTTTATGCACAAGAAAGTTTATAGTTTCCACAATGAGTTAATGTTAATGACATCATCTTATTTTTTGTGCATAATTTTGTTAATGTGTTGTGATTAGGAGCAAGGAATGGAAATGCGCAGCTTGTGGTGATATCTCTAATGTTTTGCTTGAAGTAAGCAGTGAATCCAACGAAACATCTAAAGAAGCTAAAGAGTTAGCAGCACAGATCAATTTTCAGGTACTTTGTATTTTTAATCATTATCCTCACATTTTAAATAGGACAAATCAATCTTCATTGCAATCTCCTACACTAGATTTGTTTGTTTACCAGTTGCAAAAGGTAGAAATACTAATAATTTTATGCTTGTGTTAGGAAGTCTATGGAGTCATAATGAAAACTTATCATTGTAGCTAATTAATTCTCACCTCAAATTGTAAATATTTCAGGTTTGGTTATTAGAGCAGACTGAAATCAATACATTTTTAATGGCCCTGTTGTTTATTAATATCTTACAGGGAGAGAAGCCAAAAAGTGCTGAGGGAGATCCTACTGTTGTACCACCCACACCACCATCAACAACAGCAGCTCCTGCTGAGACTTCTCCAAGTGTAACCCCACCAAGTGTAACTACTTCTGTCGAGCAACCTAGACCTGCTGGCCCAGATGTTAACACCTATCCTCATATGATGGGAGCCATGCCAAGCTTTCCATCTCCAATAGGTGTCAACCCTATACCCCCTTTCTTTCCCCAGTTTTCATGGAATCTAGCTTTTAACACAAATGTTAGCCAAGCAGCTGCTTCTCCTGCTCTAATGATGCCTAGATTCCCATACCCCCCGAGTCACTACAGTACTTACTCCTTTTACCCACCTGGCTGTTCCCTGCCGCCAGGTGTGGGCATGTTCCCCTGCCCATACCCAGAACAGAGGACACAACAAACTGCAAGAAATGTTTTTTCCCTTCCACAACATACCCAGATTCCAGTCAATTTTTCAGCAAATTCTATAACCTCTCTTACACCTGGTTCACCCCCTGATGTGCCACAAGGAAACTTGCAACCAAGTGATCCACAACTTGATGCTGTAGCCAGCCCATCCAACCTTCCTAGTAAGTCAGCTGTGAGCAATGCAAGCTCATCAAATGATGAAACAATGGTCAACAAACAACCTCGCCCTACCACTACTGATTTGCCTACATGTGCCTGTCCTCCCAATTCTTTGCTATTGAAAGAGCTTCTTCAAAAGGTTAAACGTGTAGGATCAGATGAGCTAGTAGCTGAAAATGTAACAGCTTATCCAGGAAGTTTAGAACAGCTATCTGTACCAAAGTCAGATTTAACACAAAATACAGAGACACAAGATGTACCAACAGCTGGTCAGGGTGCAACTGCATCACCTGTATCTGAGAAACCTGAGATTGAAAGCACTTCTGGTTCATTGCACAGGGAGGAATCTCTCTCTGGAGTGGCAGATGCTACTGATGTTGACCAGAACAGTGATGCAGATGTGCCTCCCCTGGAGAATTCAGAAGCTGAACAAAGATCTATCTTTGAAAAGAGCACCAGCAGCTCAATGTCTGACTTAGATAAAAAGCGCAAAAAAGCTGCTAAAGGTCTTCGCCAAAGACAGTCAGCTCCTGGGCAGGTACAGGCTGAAGAGGATGATGTTCAAAACTCTGAGACTTCAGAGTTACATAGAATTGAAGCCTCTTCAGGAGACACTAGTCAACAGTTGCCGCGTGGAAATCATCACCAAGGGGCCAGAGGTGTGAATTTAGTACGTGCACAAGCTAGGGGAGTTAGGCCAGTGGCACAAAGACAATCTAACTATGATGCTTCCTTCATTGTAATGCTTGGTTTGAGTGTAACCACTGCTATTATTCTGCTAAACCGGTTGCTTCAGTTTGTGGACTGGTCAGAGCTGTTTTCTAACTCAGTCTGGGAGTAACTGTGTTACACTCTAAGCACTATGGTATACTTCTTATTGATAAGAAAAAAAACATTTAAAATTTCTGAGAATTTTTAAAAATGAAATTTTTTTTTCAAGCATGTTTCTAAGCAATGTGGATATCTGGCATTGTTTTTTTTTTTTAAAGTGTATCCTTTAAAAAGAAAATACTATTTAGTGTAATAAACATAAGGGAAATGTTGCTATCAGACTCTAATTGTATATCAATGCATAAAGATTGGTTTGTATCCCATGTCAAAAAAATATGTAGCTAGTGTGCCACGTCATATTTTAGATAAATAACACTCTTCTAAGTTTTTTAGTTAAATATCTGAACACAAGTAATAGTAATGGTTGTGACCCATTTTCATTGTCTACAAAGCTTTTTAAAATTAAATAAAACCTCTGGGGTAAAAATCTAGTGTTATTTTTAATTAAGACCATGTATAGTTAGAACTTTATTGTATACAAAGTAGCAATCATTGCATACCTAGAAAACTTTGTCTATATTGGGGTTCCTTATGATGGTATGTATAATATTGGGAGTTAATGATGGTATTTACAGTAATTGTTTTAAAATAAATAGAACTTGTGTTGACATTTTTACTAGCCTGTGATAATATACTTTATATTTATCTTATCTGATTTCCTGATCAATTCAAACTTCAGACTAAATTTGACCTTAAAATTTTGCTTTTATTATGTTCAGCTTTTTGTTAAATTGTTCAAGATAATTTTCAATTGCAAATAAAACCGTACTTGTACATTGGGAACAGTTGTAAAACATATGGTATATGTTTAGTGCATCTGCATCCTGAGTAACATAGTTTAGTTGCTTAATGTTTTCAAGTCTGTTTTAATGTGATTTTTAAGAAATAACCAGGACACCAACTGAATAAACTCAAGTCTCTAAGTATGTTCTCGTTTAATTGTAATATACAGCAGAAATTAATGTTTCACACACACATGCAATTCACTTGGAATGATCACATTTTTTAAGGATTCTAATAAATTTCCTTTACAGATAATAATAACAACGAATTTCCTTTACTGATAATAAATTCACAGCCTGTGAAGATCTGCTAGTCCAATATTGAACCACTTTTTTTCCATTTTGTCAGAAAGTCATTTAGATAATGTTCTATTAAAAGGTCCTAGCCTTCTCACTATAAATGTCCATTTCATTCTAACAATTAACTTGTGTGGGAGGCTTGTTAAGCATGACTGGTCGTGATGGGAGCAGGCTTTTGATATAATCTGATCTTTTTTCATACACATGGGCCAAAAAGGATTCTATGCGCTTCTCTCTCACGCTGGCATACTGCTGAACACGAGCCTGTGTGTTCTTCACCTCAGGAACATTGGTGCTAAGGTATGTGGGGGACTTGTCTGGACATTTGTTCAGGTTGGATTCTTCCATCACACAAAGGAAATCTGATTCTCTTTGTAGTCTTTCACGTTCAATTAACTGGTTTTGTTTTGCAATCTAAAGAAAATATATATGAATTAGTATAATGAATTTTCAACAGTGACCATGAAATACAATAATTTACTTCCAATACTGCATGAATTACTTATCTTACCTGGATTTTTCTATAGTTGCGTTGATAATGCAATATAGCTGCATACATGTGCCATATGCTGAATTCTGGCCACAACACTTTCACAAAAGCTAAACAAGAAAATGAACTCTGTGGAGAAAAATATTACTAGCATCATTAAAAAGTAAAAGGGAGTGACCATCCAAGTCCTTAAAACCCATAGTTACTTATTATTAACATAACCTGTATTAAAATTTACTTTTATGATTATTTGATTTTTTTTTTCAAGTGGATTTGCTAGTATTTTGTTGTTGGGTTATTTGTGTTAAATAGTTTTGTGGATTTGTTAGCATCACTAAGATTTCTTCGAAATATCTGATATTTAAGATTTAATGTAGATATTGATTAATCAAGAAAATTGTCCTGCGTGCTCATCTTTCACATGGTTAGAGAAAGTTTATACCATAGATCTAATGACTCCTCTACATTGTGACAGTTATCAGGAATGATAATATGGTTTTAGAGCAAGATATCAAAGAAAAAATTTACAACAATGTAAAGACCTATTTTAAAATTATTATTAACTAAATGTTAAAATTTGATGCTGTCTGACCAACGGCTGGCTGTAAGGTCCCGTGTCCTAATTGCAGAAGTGGCTATTCTGAGCCACGTTCAAATAGATTCAGCCAAAATAAAATTTATTGTTTACTTAATTTTTTATAAAGTTAAGTTATAGTTATAAAATGAAATTTTTAAAAATATACAAATAGAAAAAGTTACTTTTGATATATTGAGATTGTAAATATAAAACTTGCACAAACTTACCTCCCACAGCAAAAAATCACTCAGCCTTAATTCACCAGAGGTGCGTATCAATAGGTCAACATTTCCACAATGAGAGGTGTAAAGGCACTTTTCTAACAGGCTCTCAGAGATGTCACTTGTTAAATTCAAAATCAGAAAAAAATTAAAATAACACACCCATATTAAGTCAGGATTAAATATTTAGGAAAAGTTAAGACAAAATTACCTCTTTAATATATAACCCTCTTTCACTCCTGATGCTAGTTCTCTCATTGCCATACACATGTCATCTCTAGCAGTATAGGCAAAACACACATTTAGGATGGCTCTGAAAATTTTGAAATAAAACTCTGATTAGGTGTTACATTTTTGGTGTTGACATTAAATTGATCTGAGCATCCATTAGTTTAACTAACCTTTTATTTTCTGCTGATATAGCAACAGCTTCAGCCAGTAATTCTTGTAAGTCTCGAGGAAGAAGTGTTATATCTCCAATAATTCGTACACATACTCCGTTGTTATGAATAAGATCTCTATTTTTCAAAATATTGATATAGCATAAAGTAATTTTTTTAAATAAACAGAGAAACATGCTTAATTTCTAAAGATATTAATTTTAAACAAAATAAACTTTTCAAATGAAAATACAGATATTGACTAAAGAATTTACAAAATTCACCTTTCTTGTAAAAGTCTTGCAAACTTCTGTCTTGAAAGTTCCATTAAATATTTGACTTCATCTGAGGATCTTTTAAAATTCTCAATGCTGAATGCATACACAGTGACTTCTGTAATGCCTAAATCCAAGCACCATTCTAGAGTCTTCAAACACAAGTGGGACCAGTGGATAAAAATAAGGTTTATGAATACACTGAACAATTGTTTCAGAACATTTGTACACATATTACAGAAGAAACCTACACATTTTTACATTATAAGGAACTGTTTATGGTAAAAAACTTAGCTCCAACATAAACTATTTATTAAAGAAGTAACCCTTTCCGACCTGGAGAACCATGGAGCAGATAAAGCAGAGTTCACCTATTTCTGTGACCTCTGCATATAAAGGGAGTGTGGTCAGTATTATACTCAGCTGCCTTTACTTTCCCTTATGTAAGTCAGGTAACTATTAGAGCTGGGTGGGCTCAGGGACATCCTATAAACTTGAGCGCTGGATCCGAACTTGAGACTTCCGAGTTAACAGTCATGCGCTCCACCACCCAACTATGCCATCTCAAAAACTGTTTAAATGCATTTTAAAAGTTTTACAATCACTACTTAGGTCTGAGAAAATAGAAAAGGATATAGGACCTACATCTTTTGATACTAATTTTTAAAGTACAGTACTTGTAATAAGTAGCAATAAGTTTATACCTCTGCTAGTTTATCAAAACCTTTCAGATGTCCTTCAGATTTAGCAATACTCTTTTTTACAGCAAACCGCCTGTTGCCATCCATGATAATAGCAACATGTTTTGGAACAGGGCCAGCAGTGATAATTGTTTCGCAGGCTCTTTGAACCCATGTTTTTTGTCTCCTCTCTGGGAACCAAGACATTGATTTCTGTGGGAAAATGTTATATATAAAGAAAAATTTATTTAAGAAGTTTTCTATCCTAAGTCATACAATTTGTATTTTGAAAATAACTATTTTTTGTAAGCAGGGAAGTAAGTAACAAGACAAAATGATAAATGATAAATGAAAGTGAATGTCTCAAAATGAAAACTGTTGGCTAAATTTTAAAAATTATTAAATTAATTTAGTAGGGACAATGTATTGTAATGTTACCACATGTACTCAATGTCTAACTAATTCAACTAAACTCTAAGTCTAAGACAGTCTAACTAATAGAGTCCTTTCATATGACGTCACGTCCGTTCGTGATACCTACGCCCGCCGCCACAGTGGTGTACACAAGACGTAAACACAATCAGCTGTTCGCCAGCGCTGGACGTGTTCACCAGCGCTGGACGCGTTCACTGTATGTAAAGAACCGCACCCGCGGAAAAGGAAAAATACGTTAAAAAACTTGAACTCTTAGGAAATGAAGATCCTTATACTGTTATTGACAGTTTCGTATAAATAAATATGTGGACAAAATTTCTAAATAAAAATACTGTTAGTAATACTGTTTGCGTTTAGAGTTAAAGTAGCCGAATCTGATCAAATGCAGTTCTCGATACTTTGTTTCAGGTAAGGACAGTAAAATAATAAACTTCATTTTAATTATAAAAGATAACTATTAATAAAACAAATATGCTCGACCTTCACAAATACTAATAGTAAAAGACAAAGTCAAAAGTAATAGGCTAATAAGAATAATAAGATCTAATAGTAGGCCTAATACCTGGCTCCGCTGGGTAGACATAGAATCTAGAATCTACTTCTTTACTTAAATTTAATTACTTTAGATCTACATTCGATTCAAAATACACCCATCATAAATCAAAAGTAGTCATAATAGGCCTAATAAAGCATTTAATTGTCTCTAAGATCTAAAATCTCACTCTATTATCTAATCATTTTTTTAGCAAACGAAATTTTCTGAAATTGAAATAGATTATATGACTAGACTTAGATCTAGAATCTGCTACTTAAATTAAATTGTAAAAACTTTATACAAGCATGTAGTTGATATTATTGTAGTAAAAGGCTTTAATAAATTACTAAGGCCTACCTACTTTGTTGTCTTTTTACAGCAATATGTATCTGATACTGGACTGAGTTTAATTAAATTCAAATTCATATCTAGTAATTGGTCTACTAAGTTTTTGTAGCCTAGTAGTACAATCTAGATCATACCAGCCAACAACAAATAACCACATTATTATTATTTGGTTAATGATTTTTTTTTAAATCCACTGTTTATAAAAGAAACAAATCAAGCTAGAAACATTATAAGTGAGATGGTTTAGAATAATAACAATGGACCCAGTCTACAATTGATACAATTGCAGGTCTACATAGGGCCTACAGTCTAGTAGTTTACAGTAGGCACCTAGTGTGTAGCTAGTATACTAGTGTGTAGCTGTCCAGAGTTAAGATTCTTAATGCCTAAATGCTTTCCCCTGATAAGCCATGTGTGCCGTGCTATAAATGACATAACATGACACCGAGGTGAGAAGTGTTGAGGGGAGAGCAGTGGGACTTTCCCCTTTGTTCTCCCTGCTGGGCCCTGAGGGTCAAAATTATATAAGAAATACTATCTCTGTGGGGCTGGGTATCACGGAGGTGAGACATTTTCAGGGGAGGGCAGGGCAGACTCCTCTTTGGTTTTATTGTGGGCTAGATACAGGTGGGGGCAGCCATCATGAGGGTTGAACGTCAGTATTAATGTGTCTGATTACTTCCCTGCTGGATTATAAGGGTCTTAAATTGTATAACATGCTACCCAGATTGGTTATTACCCATGGATTATATTAGCCGTTGTAGTGTGGGTTTTGTAGGAGTTAAGTGGTCTCACGTTTGCTACAGTAGATAACCTCTAATATATTACTGCATTTGATCAGCTTTGTCTACTTAAACTCTAAACGCAAACGGTATTACTAACTAACAGTATTTTTATTTAGAAATTTCGGCCACATATTTATAATATTATCCACGAAACTGTCAATAACTGTATAAGGATCTTCAATTCCTAAGAGTTCAAGTTTTTTAACATATTTTTCCTTTTCCGCGGGCGCGATTTTTTACATACAGTGAACACGTCCAGCGCTGGTGAACACGTCCAGCGCTGGCGAACAGCTGATTGTGTTTACGTCTGATGTACACCACTGTGGCGGCGGGCGTAGGTATCACGTGATTTAGGTCACGTGTTTGCAAGGACTCTATAGTAACTAAGACTCTACTTTTGCTAAATAAATATTAAATAATAAAAATAAAAAAAGTACTAATCTAGAATTCTAGATCTTACAACTTAATTCTAAGATTTATTTGTAGGCCTAATTATTACTAATTAAGATAGAAATGTAGTAGATCTCGATCTAAGTATTAAGATCTAATCTAGATCTCTAGATTCCAAGTAAACTGATGAAATCAAGGAAGCTGACTGAAAACAGGCAACGTAGGCCAACCTTAAAATCCTACTTTCTTTTTCTCAATGTCCACACAACTAGTTGGCCAGATCTTAGAAAAAGCATACATCAAACTAATTTTATCTTTAATTATAATTTTTTTTTTGTTTCGAGTAGACACAAAAACAATAATAACATATATCTAGATCTATGTTATATTAATAGCCCTCTTCCCCATTCCTAGGGGGAAAAAATTATTTAAACAAATACAGAATAGATGACTCCTTGTCGTCATCTTTTTATTTTTGTAACTGTGTAAGCTACTATAACTAAAATGTAGGCTGCATTTATTTTAATTTAATATTTTTATCAAAATTCTTATTATAGTTCAAATTCTATGACTCGCTTTAATTAATAAATTATCAAACTTTTGTAGGTAAAAATATTGTCACAAAACTATCAGCTTTATTAGCAGCTTAATTTGTTATTGTGTTCACAAGAATACACATGCTTTCTAAATTTGTGCATAATATCCACTGCGATTTGAATAATATTGCAGAATCGTCAAATGAGTAGGGCTATAAAAACTAATTTTATTATAGATCTAGCAGTAATTAGCTTTGAAAATAGTTAAATTTATATTTTAAACAGTTGGCCTATGTCCTCTTTTTTAAAAAAAAATATAATTTAATAATCCATAAAACACACGGAAATTCAAAATCCCACACACTTTTGATTAAAAAAAATACCTGATAGTCTAGGCTACCCAAAATTAACAAATGTTATAAATAACTACTAGGCTTACGTAAACAAAGACTGCATAATGACAACCTGGCAATAACAGGTCGGTAGAAAAGTCATTCTCCTACAGCTTTTTTTCCCTTGGCCTACACATCATGTTAACTTAAACTATGGCCTAACACACAAAAAAATAGTTCTTAAACTTTGTTCTGTTCTTTTTTACAACACTTATATTATCATTAAAATTAACGTTTAAAAATACACATACCTATTGTAATCTAGTTCAAGAGAGTTAACTTTCTTTAATAGAAATAAGATATTTAAAGAATGATCGAGCAGCTATTCATCCGCCTACTAGATCTATGGATGTTTAGATGATATCCAAGTGAGTGAAAACATAAAATGGCGTCTATGAGAATCAAGAGACCTGTGTAAAAGTTGTGTAATCCGTGTTCTTTTGGAGTATGATTATTAATATTTTATGACAGGAATGGATTGCAACACATCTTCTTTATCTGTACTTGAGCCTGGTAAGAAGAATTTCATTTTTGTTACTGCTTAATTTATGTTACAACGAGGTCTACTCTAGTTGTCACCATCTTGTTTTCTTTTTCAGAACTTTACTTTCTCATCGCGCGATTTCTTAATAATGGGCCATGTAAAAGGGCCGCTAAGGTATGCTGCTTTTTAATTTACTGATTTAACAAGTTAAATTATTCATTATTTAACTAATTTCGCTTTTCATTTTAGGCTCTACTCGAAGAACTGGAAGAGTTCCAGGTGAGTAGTTGTAGCTGTCTTTTATGCACATTCTTTATTTTCTAACTTAAAAATGCGGGTAATATGAATTTGATTTTCAGTGATTAATAAATGATTATCTATTTCAAATTATTGAAAGAATGTATCAACCAACATATTTTAGAATTTCCTTTCATTATTATTTCATCATGTGACTACTTTCAGCTTTTGCCTCAAAGAGTGGACTGGGAAGGTAACACACACTTCAGGAGTTATGAACATTTGGTAAGTCTTGAAAATACATTACACTGTTTTAAAATAGGACCAACTTTTAAACAATTTATAATTTCTGCCAGAAATTCTACAACTCAAAAGGTAAACATATTTGGGTGTGAAAATAAATATTTTATCTAATGTCAAGTTTTTTTCCTGTATTTTTAATTTGTAAGTTAAAATATATTTTGTTTTTGTAAAAAAATGATTTAACTATTTTGTATAAATTAGTGCATATGGGTTGTGATGTCATTGGACAGATTTCTGTTCATCCAATGACCATGGTACTTTAGAAAAGAATCATCTTTATGTCAAAACCATTTTGATTGGATAGAAGAAATGGGGTTAAATATGTAGGTCAGGTCAAATTTTCACTGTATTGCTAAAACTGTCAAAATGTTTCAAACCATATAATTAAGTGTTACATACTTTCATAGTGAATTTTATACTAATTTTAATTATTGACACTTGAGTAATATTTAATTAGATTAATCATTTTTGCATAGGAATTTTCCTTGGGCTAGGCTAGTTGGGTACATTACAAACATGGCTGGGACTACTTTTTCACAGCTGCTTTTTAACTCTTATTTGGAAGAAGGAAATATTGAGCATGTAAACATGGGAAGGGGAAGGTGGGGGGTTTAATTGTTATAGGCCTAGAGTGTTCATATTTTATGCTTAACATTATAAAAACAGTTATTTTGAGAGGAAAATATGCTAGATCTATCTAGTCTAGATCTTTATGAATTCTTAACACCATTATTAATATTTATATCCAAATTATAAACTATCATAATTATTTTTTTTCATTGACAAATGTGGATAAATATTTCACTATATATCTATTTTTTTCTTCTATTTTTTATTTTAATTTCTGTACTTTTATAACAAGTTATATGTGAAGAAAACTGTTTTTTACAATATTGTTCTTTGCCCATGCATAGGTATACCTAAACAGACATATAAAAGGAGACCATTTACTTCGTATTGTTGAGCGGTTAGGTACTTTGCTTGATAAAGAAATAAAACCAAGTGTTCCAGGAGTTAAGTCCCTTTTAGGAGCTGGAAGTTTATCTTTGCTTAGAACAGCTGAAGGTAAAAACCAAATATTTAAGGAATATGGCCTCCACTGTTACATGATAGAATAATTTTAGGGAAAAAAAAACATCAAATTTTTTTTTATGTTCAGGTATTCGTCAAACAAAATGGAGTTCTTCTCACCATATTGTTCGCCAGCATGGAATGCCAATATATCCACCTGCCAATCTTGCCATTCCTGCAGTCCGTAAGTTCTTTAAATGTTTAGCTTTATGAGATTTTGAAAAAGAGCAATTTCATTGGGTTTTTCTTTTGTCATATCATTAGAGTTTATTCAAAAGTTTAGTATAACATTACTTGGAAATGAGTTCAAGAAATATTAAATTATACCAATTATAATTAGGGCTGGTAAAGTTGACCAAAGTAAAATATTGTTTAATGCTGTATACTTGATTTAAACTACTTGCTTTGATCTTTAGCTCATGTTGCCAAAGCTTATCAGATGTCAGGGGTAGTTCGACATCACAGTATTGCACCAACAAGCCTTTTTAATAAAATAAGCATGCATGGTAGAAAGTTGGGACACCTATCTGCTGTGTACTGTGTGCTCTTTGATAGGACCGGAAATTACATTTTTACAGTGAGTGATATTAAATCTTCTTGCATTTGTTACACCTTAAGAAATCTACTGAATCAAAACTAATTTTTATTTTTATGTAGGGGGCTGATGATGCACTTGTAAAAATATGGAGTGTTTATGATATGCGCTTACTTGCAACATTGCGTGGCCACTCTGCGGAAATCACAGATATGGCAGTTTCATATGAAAATACATACCTAGCTAGTGGCAGCTGTGATAAAGTGGTTAGAATATGGTGTTTGCGCTCAAAGGCTCCAGCAGCTGTTTTACAAGCTCATTCGAGTATGATCACATCTGTTCAGGTTTGCTGCATTTTTTTTTTTTTTTAAATGTTTTCATTAAGTAATAAAAATACTTTTAAAAAATCTCAGGCTTTTTTATTCTCAGCTGTTAAATTTTTTAAATTAACTAACAGTTATTTTGTTTTACTAGTTTTGTCCGAAGGCTCAAGGAGACAACCGCTACATAGTGTCTACTGGCAATGATGGATGTGTTTGTTTCTGGCATTATAACATTCATACAAATGTGTTTAGGTAATTTATCTCTCATTTACAATTAATCTTACTTTTTAATTGCAATTAAATACAAAAATATTTTTTCTATTGTTTGATGTCAAAATTTTAATTTCAGTCTGAAACCTATAAAATTTATTGAAAAATCCCGCGCCGGAGCTCAAATGCTGTGTTCTTCATTTTCCCCTGGTGGTGCTTTTCTTGCCACTGGAAATTCTGATCATGTTGTTCGGGTCTATTTTCTTCATGCAGTGGGCATAGAAAAAATTTGTGAACTTGAAGCTCATACTGTAAGTACCCTTGCAATATTGTCACTTCATATAATCAAATGAATTTTACTTAAAATAAATTTTAAAACTGCTGAGCTTATCTTTTATATAGATTCCAATTGTTTTTGCTTTTTAATTTTAGGACAAAGTAGACAGTATATGTTACAGTAATAATCTAAATCGATTTGTGAGTGGTAGCAATGATGGTACAGCAAGGATTTGGCGCTTTGAAAAACAAGAATGGAGAGCTACTGTTCTTAATATGAATGCAAAAATCAATAGGTACTTTTTTATTGGATGGGTAAAGTAAGGGGTTACTAAAGCAAAGAGCTATTACTTTTTTAAGAGTTGAATGTCTAAAAAATTAACAAGATTAACTCAAATCTAGAAATGTTTATTCTATGTCTGTTATTTGTTCAATTTGTTAATAAAAAGTGGTTTTAGATCAATGTTGTTTTAAATTTTACTTCTTACATACTATTTCTGTCATTAAAATACCACTTTTGCATTTATTACCTTAAGTCCTAGCCAATGTCAAGAGACAAATAGAAATGATGCTAAAGATCAATTGAGAGTTACCATGGTGAGCTGGAGTATGGACGACCAAATGGTGTTGACAGCAGTGTCTGACTTTACCATTAAGATTTGGAATGCATATACTGGGACTCTATTAAAAGTTTTAGAGGTAAAAATGAAGTCTTAAAACTACTAAAAAGTACTAGTTGATTCTTAACTACAAATTTTAATCAATATTCATACAGCTTCCATTATTTTATTATCAGAAAATTTTTCTTTTTCACTATGCTTATTCAAATTTGTATGGTATGTTTAACTATCCCTAATTACTGGTTATTATCTAATTAGGGTCATGAGGATGAAGTTTTTGTTCTAGAAGCATGCCCAACAGATGCCAGAATTTTGCTAAGTGCTGGACATGATGGAAGGATGATTATATGGGATTTATACTCAGGGGCGAAAATTAAAAAATTCTTCAACCTGGTATGTGATTTTACTTTGACTTTCTGGAAAAATGAAATTTGAACATTTTAATTCTGCAATTACTTTTTTTTTAATTATTTTTTTAGATTGAAGGTCAGGGTCATGGAGCTGTGTTTGATTGTAAATTCTCACCTGATGGTCATTCTCTAGCTGCTACAGACTCTCATGGGCATTTACTTCTCTTGGGTTTCGGCACAAATGAGAGATGCAAAAAGGTACACAACAAATCTCAATGCTTAATGTTATCAACCACTTTCTTCTGTCCTTATTTTGTGAAATGTATTAAATTCTAAAAACAAATGGTTCTCCCCATCCAGATTCCACAGCAGATGTTTTTTCATACAGACTACAGACCTCTAATGCGAGATGCAAATAACTTTGTGCTTGATGAGCAAACACAGCAGCCTCCACACCTGATGCCTCCACCCTTCCTTGTTGATATTGATGGAAACCCTTACCCTGCTGCACTGCAGAGATTAGTTCCTGGCAGAGAACACTGCAAAGAATCAAATCTAGTTCCACAGATGGTTGTTAATGCACATGGTAACAATTTATATCTTATGAATTATAACTCAGGATTAAGTTTACGGTTCTAGTTTTCCAAATGCTAACCTCTGAATTTTGTTTTAGGTGAATCTGAAGTAATAGGTGACTTAGACAATGATGTAAGACAAGATGGTGCTGCCAATCAAGTTGATGATTCTGAGACTGAAGAAGAAGCAGATTCTGTAGATGTTCGTCCAGGTGCTGTTCGCAGAGGTGGCGCACGGCCTAGCATAGATGTTATGATACAAGAGCTTCAACGACAGCAAGATCAAAGATTGCACAGAGAATCTGGCAGTAGCAACAGCAATGTCATGTCTCCACCATACTTGCCATACTCACCTCCAACACCTCGATCACATATGCAAAGTTAGTTCCTATTGTTGTTTTTTAATTCATTATATCATAATTTTGCTAAGAATAACCTATATACATTACAAGATATTTCTATAAATACTAACTTTACATGGAACAGATCGAATAGGCATGCGCCGTAGTGGAGAAATAGAAGGTGTGCGGCAGTCGCTAGGGAATGTCTCTGTCAGGTCCACAAAGAAAGAGAGAGATGCTGCACGAAGGCATGTAACTGTACGACCATTAGACCCTGAAATGCTGAGGTAAAAATGCGAATCAAATGTTACATTATTTTTTTTTTAAAGCTTTCTGAAGGGTTTCATAAATATAACTATGATGTAATTTTGTTGTGCTTACTAGTCAATTACCATTGTGATATCGGTATAAAACGCAAAAAATATATATTAGAATATCTTGAACTTTTATATTAGCTTGTGCATAATTTTCTTTTCTTATCATTATAGAGCATCTGAAGAAAAGAGATCAGCTTATACAGAAGAGGAAATAAGAAAATTTGTTACAGAAAGGAAAAAGAAACTGCTTTCTCCCCATGATGTAAGTGTTAGGTGTATGCTTTTTTTGGTGGTAAATAAAAAATTATAAAATATATTTATCTAGGGTAATATTCTTCTCTAACTACTTTTGTTTAGATGTGTTGCTGACATTACTCTTTTTTTTTTATTACATGCAGTTGTCATCAGCTAGTGTTTTAGTAAACAAAAAACGAGGCCAAAAACCAAAGAAACAAACAAGTGGTGATGGTCAAAGAATGGAAGACATCCCTGAAAATATGGAAACAGCCAGAAACAGACTGACAACAAGAGCATTGTATGACACAGAGGAAGAGGTTTGTTGTAATACTTGCATCCAGTTAGTGAACTAAAGCTAAATATATCAGTGCAAATACAAATTTGTATCATGAAATTCTGCTTTTGTTAAGAAATGTATATATTTTTTTGTTTACAGGAAGATGAAGAAGGTGGATCAGATGTAGATCTGTGGGACAGGTAAACTAAAAAAATTAAATGTGCTTGTAAACTTAGAAGATTGTTAAAATATTAATGTTAGCCTATTATTTACTGTTTTTTTTTTGTTCAAATTAATTTTGCCAGCGATAACAGCAGCAGTGATTACTCAGACTGGGTTGGAGATCAAGGCAGCAGCAACTTAGAACCACCAAAACGAAGGTCACAGCGAAAACCAAAGAGGCGCAGATTGTCTTCAACAGACGAAGATGATTTAATAGATGTTGTCGAGGCAGATGAAGAGGAGATGGATACAGAAGACACTACAACATCTGATGATAGCAGTAGTGAAGAAGAGAAAGAGAACATTGAGGGGCCTTCAACTTCTACAAAACGAGAATCAAAACGACGAAAAGCAAGCCAGAAGACATTTAGGAAAAAAAGAAAAAAAGCAGAAAGGGTAATAACTATTTTACAATAAGTAAAAGATATAAATAGGAGACAACATGGTAAAATGGTTGAGTGTTTGACAACTAACCAGAGTAGTAATATGTCCTTGAGTCCACTCAACTTTGATGGGTACCTGACTTAGGTTGGGGAATGTAAAGGCGGCTGGCTGTCAAAGAAACAGGTTAACTCATTCTGCCCTGTGGGTCGATAGGTTTTAAAGTGAACTTAACTTACTCAATTAAAGTTTTAAATAAAATGTAAGAGGTCATCCATTTATGACGTTCACATGGGGGAGGGGTCAGAAAAAAATTGACTTTGCTGACTGTGGGTTCGGGTTATTGTTGACGTCCACGTTTAATTTATTTACCTCAAAATACTAATATTAAAAATAAAACTGCACATAAAATTTAGGTTGTACATTAAATCTACAGTTATTGTGTTGAATATCCCCAGCACAAAGGGTGAATAAATGTATCAGAAATTCAAAGGTAACTGTATATGGCCCGAATAAGAACAGAAGGGGAGATTTTTTTTTTGCAATCGGAAGGGCAGGGTGGCGCAGTGACCTCGGCAATTATATAAAACATTTCATAAAATTTCAAGTTTATTTTTTAAACATTTTAAACAATTAAAGCATTATTTAAAAAAACAATTAGCTCTAGGCTCACATCATGTAACTAAATCATAGTCTAAATCATGAATTTGTGCCACAGCCTAAGACGACGTTTGAAATGTGCTTTTTTTTTTCAACACTTTCTAGGCTCACCTTTAATTTTATTATTTAGGCCTAGTAATAGATGCTACCTAAAATATCAAATTCTATATTAGATTAGCAATTAATACGTTAGCAAGGTACACATAACATGTATGTTGATGTATTAATAATTTTGCAGCATGTTTTGAGAGGTCTACTAAATTTGGGGGGGGGGGGGGGTCTAAAATTCCAAATTTTTGTGGACGCCATAAATGGACAACCCCTAATATAGAGCAAGTGAGCACTACTATATGCTAGTTACTCAATTGACTGATTTGTTTTCACAGAGGAGGAAACCTCGGCTTGTACCACCTGATCCCAATCTCAAACCAGTTACAGAACTAGATGAGAAAATGAAACCACCAGAATGGATTACATCTGTGATACCCAGAAAAGCACCTTTTGTACCTCAGATGGGAGACGAGGTGATGTACTTCCGCCAGGGCCATGAGCAGTACCTGCAGGCTGTTTTGAGGAAGGAAGTGTACAAAGTAGATGTAGACAAGAACCAACCCTGGCATAAAATTCCAAACCTCAGGGTAAGCTTTTATTCTTCCTTCCAGTGTTTTAACAGATAATAATTACAGTAATTTCAATATTCTCCTATGAACTTTTATGATAAGGCAGCTCAAAATATTACTTTATTATAAAAGGAATAAAAGAATTTCCTTTTTAACCTAACATACCATTGTCAGATGAAGTAGACTTTACCTGTTAATTTGACAGCGTTTTATGAAAGGATTGTGTGGAAAGCACTGCACCCTGCAGCTTTAACTTTCCCTAATTCTAGTCAGGTATCCAAAGAAGCTTGGTGGATTTGAGCATGAGATCCGAACTATAGTCTAAGGGGATAGCATTTGTCACTTTGCCATCCAACCGTGCCAACCCACTAATAGGACTTACATTTTTCATTTGTTTTATATACTTAGGCACACGAATCAGTAAAAATAGTTGGAATCAAATGGCTGATGAAGCCAACTCGACTCTGCTGTTTGAAACTCGCATTTATGGATCCTAACTCAGGGAGACTTACTGGCAAAAGTTTTACCATAAAGTAAGTGGTTGGTTTTACAATAAGGCTGGAATTATAAATGTGTATAATTCTGTTAAGATAATATGCTTGTTTATAGAATCATTTGTGGTACAGAATTTTCCATTTCTGCTTACGTAGATATCATGACATGCCAGATGTGATAGACTTTTTAGTGCTCAAACAACATTACGACATATCAGTGGAAAGAGGCTGGAAGCCAGGTGAGTTTTTTGTTTGCCATTTTACCGACTTTGTTTATAGAAAAATCAATCATCATGGTGTGTTATATTCTAGGTGAATTATTTACATTTTTGTATTCTTATTATAACCTGTTACCATGCCAGTAGCTCAATTTTAAAACTTGATTTCCAGGTATGAGGTTTCGTTCAATGATCGATGACCAGTGGTGGATGGGAGCCATTAAATCACAAGAACCACTGTATCCTGAGTTTCCTGACTGTTTATATCAATGCTTTAATGTGCAGTAAGTTATTTCTTTGTAATGTTATTAATGGCTAAAATATTTTTGAAACAACTAAAATTAATCATAAATTAAAACTCTAAAGGTTTTATTGTCATATTTTCTATTCTTTCTTTCTTGTGACTAGATGGGACAATGGAGAATTTGAGAAGCTCAGTCCCTGGGATATGGAACCTATAGATCCGAAAAGTAAGTAAAACAATGCCGGCCTCTGTGTGGTTTCACACTTGTCTTGTAGGGTGTGTGAGTGGTAGTCCTCTCTCAAAACTCATAAAATTATTACTCATTACTCTTAGCAAGAGATCCTATTTTTAACTGCATTAAGGGAACAAGATACCCATGTTTTCGATAAAATGTTAATTTTGCTACCCAAAATTTTTATTTCTTAATTCGATACTAGTACCTTTTATCTATCTAACCCGAACATTTCGGACTTCTACAGCTTACGGTTATCCGTTTATTGCGATGTGAAACCTGGTACCCCCCGGCAAGTTTTCACACTACTACGCGGACAGCGGCTATCTTCGAGCGGGTATTACATCATTTATTGCCCGCGAGGCACCATAAGTTTTACAGCAATCTAAGGGCCAAGCACTCGTGTACCCGCTGGTGTAGTGACCTTTTCTTTTGTTCTAAAAATAATTGGGATAGAAGTTGTTTTCTACAAAGTAAAATTTTATATTAAACTCCATATAAGGGCATGCGCGTAAAATTTATGAATGAGAAGAGGTTCATTGATACGCTTGACCAATCATATTATAGTACAGTAAATCAAAATAATTCACGATAGGCTGCAACTAACCACGTGTGCTAGGCAGCCATCTTGTTTCTTGATAAACAAAACAATCGCCTGTCTCGTTTGTTTACCCCATTTGCGTATACTCTTCTATTTGTTGTTTTAAAGTTATACAACAACATTAAGTTTAATAATTGAAACTTTGCCTAGAAATGTACTGTTGATTATCACTGGAACAATATTAAACACTGTTGCGTACGCTTTAAAATTATACTAAGCTGAAACAATGCGTCATGGACATGACTATCAGTTTGAAGAATGTACTGTCCATCCCCTTTACCCCTTCATTCCCTTCTCGCCATTCAACCAACGGCCGGTTTATAATCTTGTTACGGCATGCTGTGATAGGCTTGAACGCGTTCATCAGGCTTTACACCAGACTGTATACGACACATGTGTTAATGTGTATGCCCATCTCTCCGTATAGGGTGTGCTAGCAACGAATGTAAATACTAGATAGTAGTAGATAGGATAGCTGGGAAGCATTCACTTAGGCCCTGTACTTGACCCTATCTACACAGATGTGTTATTCGCGGTTGAATGAACATTGGTAATCTATGGCTCATCGGTGCCTCATGCACTATCCAGCCGTGGGATGGGGTGGAGGGGCGTGTCTAGCCTCAAGCGTTGTACCCAGTGTTGTGTTGTAGGCTATTATCATAAGGCAATAAACTTGTGTAAGCTACAATTTGAGTAGAGAAAGACATTGTTTTGAAGTGAGAAGACCGGCTAACAAACAAAACTTTATCTGGTTTGATGATAGCTGTTCTGAGAATACCGCTCGATTGATAGGATGTGTAATACTTAATAGTCATACATTCATTACCTGTTGTATACATATTTTCTGCTTACATAGAATAAATCTATCTAAAGCTTACAACATAAATCAAAGCGTATTTTATTAGACAAATGGTTCTTCCACATATAACAAGACGTTTTTTTTTCTGTTTTCTATAAGAGAAAACGCACCGCGCCTTTTCCCGCTCTTCTTTTCACGTTTTCTCAACTTTGCATTTTTACTCAAAATTCGACATTCAAATCGCTAAGGCTTTGGAACCCTTTGTCATACAAGAATAAAACATTCCACGTGCGTTCAGCATTATACCATCTACAAAACTACGTTTGTACATTAAGTTTACTACAATACTTAAGGAAATATTGTTATTTTTGTAACACCACCCCCTAATTTTTGTACATACATTTACGTAAAAATTTGTATAAAAAATTGAGTACAAGCTATCGCAATGAGTAAACGTAGAAATGTATAGTTTGGTTTGAGAAATCTAAATCTTTCATCCGTTTTTTAAAATCTCTTATGGGAACAAAGCCTTAGCGATTTGAAAAGGTGTTAGTTTTCACACCTTTTCGCTGTTTCCATGGCAACCAGTACTGCTATTGACGGCTATATATTATTTTTGTCTATAGTTTAACAACTATAATTATATGAACTTATTAAACATCCAGAAATGTGTTAAATAAAAAAAAAAATTTTATCCGTGGTGCCTATCCTTAAATAAATGGGTAACAACAATGCTAGAAGTTATCCAGTTTTGTTTTCAATGAGAAAAATCTCCATAGATTTAGGACATATAGATTGTGATCTAAATTATTGAATATCCAGATCAGTGAGCTGATCTAATTACATCTACTTGCATAGATTAAGCAACATCATCTTATGGACCATAATATTTTTTTTTTAAAGATACAGCTACAATAAAGTGATGCTCAAGGAAAAAAGATTTGATTTTAATATTTTTTTTTAGGAAAACCAGCTGTTGTTGGAGGGGGAGTTGGTGTTACACAAGAGGAATATAAATCTCTGTTATATGTGCCAAAAAAAACAGAGTGGCCATCCTGTGGCAGAGAAGCTGATTCTCAGCGTTTGATTCGGGGATTGGAAGCTTTGATGCAGCACTCAGTCGCTGAGCCATTCATAGCCCCGGTAGACCTGCAGCAGTTTCCTACCTATGCCTGTTTTGTTTCATACCCCATTGATCTCAGTACAATCAAAACTAGACTGGAGAATGGATTTTACAGGTTAGTTTGCATAGCTGGTTAAGTTTTTTTAAGTTAAACCTATTTAAGATTTTGATTTTTTATGATTTTTAAGATTTTTGATGAAAACTCATTTTTAATAGATCATTAATTAAGGCTACCTATTCATTTTGCATTTATTTTACAAGCTGTTCAAAAAAGATTTTCAAATGTTACTTCAGGAACTCTGTTAAACAAATCAGAGAGTTTTGCTCAAATTAGAAGTTCCAAGCATGTTTTGTTTAAGTCTTATTTCTTGTATAAACTTTAGAGCCTTTTATAGGGCTATAATATATGAAAATAGCCTTTAAAATATAATTTCCCCTAAATAGCCTGTAGAATATAGATTTCCCTCTATATATTTTACACCAAAAAATTCTTTTTGATAGGAACATTTATTTTAATTTTTTTTTTTAGGAGGGTCACAGCTTTGCAATGGGATGTGAGACTCATTTCAGCCAATGCTAGTATATTCAACAAGTCAGGCAGTAGCATTGTCAAAAATGCCAACGCTCTTTCAGAAACTTTACTCAGATTTATTAAGTGGGTTTTTTTTTATTTCTGTATTGTATACATATAAAGAATATACACATTGTATTGATGGAAAGGAAAATAAATTGATTGTTGTGTCTGTCTAGGTGTTTATAAATATTGTTCACCCAGCTAATTTCATACCAATGTGGTTTTTATTATAGGGATCATGGTTGCCAAGATCCACTTACTATTTTGAGTGAATTAGCACACAGTGATTTTAAAACTGGTTCTAGTGATGATGAAAGTCAGCCAGGAAATTCAAAGGTACGCCAGTTTGTTTATTCTGTGGTGTGTTTTTCCCTAATCTTAAATTGACTTTTTGTTGTTTTAATTGTTGTATTTATAAAAGTGCTCAGTTATATTTTACACATAGATTAACACCTAAATGTTTAAATATTATGTCCAGCGTATTTCAAAGTGTTTTACAATTACTTTTATTTTAAAATTAATTTTTTTGGTTATTGTTTTATCAATCTGTAGACTCACAGCAGCCCTAGAAAGAAAAAAAGGAAAAGGAAACCTAACCCAGAAGCTTGGCTGGAACAAAGCGAGTCACTTCTGGCAATGTTGTTTGATTGTGAAGATTCTGAACCATTCCGAATCCCTGTCAATCCTGCTGATTATCCGGTAAAGACAACCGTTCACTTCATTTTTACATATTACTAATCCATTTTAATGTGAATTTCATAATATAAATTATAAATTCATACTCTTTAAAAAAAAAGTAGTTCCTCACAGCAGATGTTTTTTTTTAATCACAAGGATTATGAAGATATAGTTACCAACCCTATGGATCTCACCACTGTCCACACTAAACTTGCCACTGGGCATTATGGAAATCCTGTCGATATGTGTCGTGATATCCGTCTTATTTTCCAGAATTCCAAATTGTATAATATCAATAAACGCTCAAGGGTAATTAACTTTTACTGTATTATTCTTACTTCATTTTGCAGTTATGGTTTTATCTGGCTATAAATCTAGTACATTAACACTGGTAAAGGGCAAAAACTCATAAACACAAATAAACCTTTACACATAAGTAGCTGTCACAAAAAGTAAATAATGTTCTTCTGCATATTTATGGCATCATTAATCTTTGTTCTAACAGATTTATTCCATGACCCTTCGTCTTTCTGCTTTGTTTGAGGCCCAGATCACTGAAATTATTAACACCTGGAAATCTGCTCTTAAAGCTTCTGGACGGATTCGCAAACAGCCCAGGTATTACAGTACCAACAAAATCATTTCCTGATTTACTACTGTCAATTTTTTCCAATTTATTCCTACAAAGTTTTCTTGCGGGATCAAAATTGACCAATGATGATTTACTTTGTTGCCAGGTCAAAGCATTCATCCTCACCTCAGCCCTCAGCATCATGGGATACTCTGACTTCAAACATTCTTGATCCAAACCAGCCTTCCACCTCAGGGTATTCTAATGGAAGGCAGACCATCAATGGTGCTGGTCCCTCAATACACAGTAATGGCCACATTGCAGGTATTTCAATATTTCAGTGTCAATTGCTGATATGACTGTCTTAAGTTAAATTAACCTTTAGAAAGCCTAGTATTAAATGAGATGTATATCTTGCCAGGATCAAGCTCCAAAAGTAAAAAGAACTGCATACTGACCAATGGCGATGATTCAGATGCAACCATTGTGGATGATGATAAAAAGAGTGAGGATGTTGACACTGAATTTTGTGATGAAGATGCTGTGAATGGGATTGTGAATCATACAGACCATGACAGTGATGATGACATGGGGGATGATGATGATAGAGATAATGATTACAGACCAAGTCAGTACGTGAAGAATTTCTCTAAAGCACCACCAAGAGGTTTGTTCATTAATTATTTTTTTCTCGTAAGCAGAGGTCTAAATTTAAAATCATAATACTTTTGTGACTGTTGACTGTTTAAAGCTATCACAAATATTAAAATCAATTTTTATAATCTGTTTCAGGCAAGCCTTCCAAACGTGGCAAAGGCAAATCTACCAGACCTCTGCCTCCACGCTTAGCTAGTGAACGCCTCAAGAAATCCAATATCTTTTATACATCAGATGGGAATAGTGATGAAGATTTCCTCTCTGACGATGAAGATGAGGGCAATGAAAAACTCACCAAACGAGGTTCTAAAAGCAAAGTGAACCACGTCTCACGTGTGGTGTCTGATGACAGTGACTCCGACACCCCTGTTCAGCCAGCACCAAGGGGTAGGGGAAGGCCACCTAAATCTGCCACCCTTAAAAAGAAAAACTCTGTGAAAACAAAGAGTACCTCAAAAAAATTGACTTCCGACAATGAAGAAACACCCATTCACAGAAAGGTTCGCAGTACCAGGTCTCGAAGGAGAATGATCAATTCCGAGGACGAAGAAGGAGCCAGTGCATTGAATGGTAGCAGATCTCGGAGGAGACGTATCCATTCTGAGGATGACGAGGGGACAAATGAGTTGAATGGTCTGGAGAAAGAGAACGCCAGTGCCTTAGCGCGGTCCTCTCGGTCTGCAAGATTCCAGAAAAAAGACTACAATGAAGTTGACTCAGATGCAGCAGATGAAACAGATAACAGCCCTGACAACTCAGAGACGGAGGAGGAGGAGGTAAAAGATCACACTGAATCAGAGGAAGAATCAACAGAAGAGGACTCTGATGATGAAATAATGAATGCTAGTCTGAAAAGTAGCACCCAGAAGTCTTCAAAAAACAAAAGCGCAAATGGTGTTCTGAAACGTTCAAAAAACTTTGAGGACAGTGACAGTGATGCTGTTGTACCTCACAAGCGGAAACGCTTGCGATCCTCTTCACCTGTTAAGGTTACCAAAAAAATGCATCCAGTCAAAACTAAATTTCCCAAGAAAAATGAATCTCGGAAAGTCCGAAGCAAAGACAGTTCAGGTAGGCAAACAAGAAACAGAGGCCAGCAGAAGGTGACCTACTTGGAAGACTATGGCACAGATGATGATGCTGGTGACAACAACACAGATGATGATTCTGAGAATGATTCTGAAAGTGAGAATGATACCATGGCTTATTCCAGGAGCGTTAGCAGTCGTGGTAGAGTGAGAAAATTAACCGCTAGAGCAAAAGCAAGTTTAAAAGGACACTAGTGCTTTTTCTTGCTATCAACCTTCAGGAAAACTAACTTATTTAAATAAATTAAACTGACATTTACCTAGGTAGGGGTTGAGCACCTCATTTCATTTTCATCCACATTGCTGCCATTCCACTAGCATTAAATTGTTCAGTAATTACAAAACCTGATGTATGCTTAAAAATAAGTCTTTTTGAAAATAATGTACATCGAACCTAATTATAATTATCAAGCTTGGTGCATCTGTTTTTGTTTTTTTTTAACGTTAATTACTATTTGAATAATTAAACAAGTAAGTTAATTATTGCTGTTAGTCTTCTAGATAGAATAATTTGCTTTACATAATCCAAGGCAGAAGTTTGTGTATGCAATTTTTTTTTAAAATCCTCTTACTACTAGTATAGTTAGTTTAAAGGGGAGATCACAGCATTCTAACGACTTCCTGAGGTACATTATGCAAAGCTGCCAAGTTCAATTATTTAAGTCATGTCTAATCATTTTGACACTCTTTAAGTTGTAAATGTGAGAATTTTTTAAATAAGAAATTTTTTTATAATTTCCCTTACAACCACCTAAGGCTGGGTCCAGCTGTACATTAGAACATCATTCCTCTGTGCCTTTGTTTCTCAGGGAAACACCATCATTTATGCAAGGAAGTTGACATTTTCATTGCTGTAATCTTAAACAGGCATAATCCTAGTTCCACAGGTCAACTGGGGGAGGCATGATTTACTGTAGTATGAGCTTTGTAGTTAAACATTTAGATTAGTACTTTGTATTAGAGTAAGCTCCATGGTCTTCCTAGTCAAAAGTGTATAGCCATCAAATGTTATGTTGGTCAACCAAATGTTATCATCTTAGCACTTTGTTCTTACCATCAGTGTGCTAAACATTTCAGCTTTATTAGTGAGAAGTAGTGTACAAATGTGCTGTTGATAAAATATAGGAATAGTGTTTTTAGGGGTGTCACTATGTTAGTGGCCATACAGAAGTGTGTGTATGACTGGTGGTGTATGACTAGCATGCTGTATGTCATGGATCCATATTAATAGTGTCACAAAGTTGTCACACTTTATGTTGTATGATATAGATTAATTTCCAGATGTATGTACATGAATACAACAAAAAGGATGCTGTGAAAAAACTGCTTGTGTTATCCAGTTGTCTGTGTATGAATGTGACTTATGGATATTGTGGAAAAAACTACTTGCACAACCCAATAGTCTATATATGATGTGACATGGATTTTGTGGGGAAAACTGCTTTGTTATCCAGTTGTCTGTGTATGAATGTGACTTATGGATATTGTGAAAAAAACTACTTGCACTACCCAATTGTCTATATATGATGTGACATGGATTTTGTGGGGAAAACTGCTTTGTTATCCAGTTGTCTGTGTATGAATCAAGAATGTGACTTATGGATATTGTGAAAAAAACTACTTGCACTATCCAGTTGTCCATATATGATGTGGCATATGGATATTGTGAAAAAAAAACTGCTTGTGTTATCCAGTTGAGTGTATAAATGTTGATGAGGGCATTGTGGTGCAACAAACTGATTGTGTACTTTAGTTGTCTATATATGAATGCAGCAAGAATATTGTGAAAAAAAACTGCATGTGTCATCCAGTTGTCTCTATATAAATGCAGCAAGAATATTGTGAAAAAAAACTGCATGTGTCATCCAGTTATCTGTATATGTATGTGACAAGGATATGTCTTCCTTCTTGTGCTTATATAAAATCTGTATAGGACCCCTTTCTGGGATGTTAAAGCTCCACAGCGCCAAAACAAGCATCACTTTAAAAGCTGCTCTAGCTTGCTATTTTTAGGTTGTGATACTGATAGTGAAACTTGCTCTGTAGAAGTCTTTCATCAGTCTGTTTCATAATAGTAGAAACTATTTGTTCTTGCAGATTATTAATTTTACATTGATAGATGATTAAAAAATACTTGTCACTGCGATATTATGTCGTATATTCTTCAACATTAGAAGTGGACGTGATTTTCCTGATAAAGCACTCTAATGCTTGTAAGCTTTTAAAATAAAAATCAGCATCCATTATGTTGGTTGAAATTTTTCTTTCAGACTCAGCTATTTATTTCCTAGTGCTCAGCTCTGTACATCACTTATGATGTGATTCCACTGCTCAATATTTTCTCTAATCAATCTATTGTACCATCCTGGTTTAAGAAAAGATATTTTATACTTAGACCTATGATCTAGCTTTTCCTTTACCTACTTATTTATTTTAGGTGTTGTATTTTGCCATACCCCATTTACAAATGCTTTTTTTTTTTTGTCTGCCAAGCATGTGTATTTTTTCTTTTGAGTTTGTGAGCCATGTAGATCCTAGTTGTCATTCTAATGAGTTTATAGTCAAGCCGATCCATGCTCAGCATAGGTTTTCTTAGGGAATAAGTTAAAGTCAATCCCTATTCAGTAAAGGTTTTCTTAGGGAATAAGTTAAAGTCATCCCTGTTCAGTAAAGGTTCTCTTGGGGAATAAGTTAAAGTCATCCCTGTTCAGTAAAGGTTCTCTTGGGGAATAAGTTAAAGTCAATCCCTGTTCAGTAAAGATTTTCTTAGGGAATAAGTTAAAGTCATCCCTGTTCAGTAAAGGTTCTCTTAGGGAATGTGAAGTGTGAAGCAGTGTAGAAAGGTCACATATCATTTGAAGCTTCGTTTCTGTTGGTCAAGTTTTCTATTGATATTTAAAATGTTTAACATTAAAAACCTGCTGTACATTCATTGACTGTAAATATTAACTGCTTGATTTTTGCCTGTAAATAAACCTATTCATGATATTTTGTGCCATCTCTAAGGCAGCAAAAATAAATTGTTTTTGTTAACAAGTTTTAATAATTGGTGTGGTTTTTTTAAATAAGAGTCAGATAAAATTCTGCTTCAGAACACTCGTGTAACATGTTAATCAATAGTTTTACACATTTTGTTTTGTCTCACAGTTGGGTTCCCAACATTCGGACCAGCGGCAATGTTATTCTATTATTATACAGCACTTAAAACACGTCTGTATCGGATTCATAAGCTAACGGGGAAGGGGGGGGGGGTTAAATTTTGATAAAAATTGGGGAGAATTGAAGGCTGTCAAAAGTTAACGTTTTTTTTTTTTTGTATATTTATTTTGTGGGGAAATACGAAAACGTCCCCACTTAAACTATGAACGATATATTTTCCGTGTACTGTATAGTAGTCCTGCAGTTCAACTAAATGTTATAAGGGGTCATCCATAAATGACGTCACGCTTTTTTTTGACGATTTTTTACCTCCCCCCTCCCCTCCGTCACAAAAAGCCAGACCCCCCCCCCCCCTAAAATGACATCACACCTCAACCTACAACCCCCCTCAAAATTGCAGTTGAATTTTTTTTAAACATCGATATATTTCTAAAATCTTGTCTAAATTATTACAATTTATTAAAACAGTTATCTAAAACGCGAAATAACGTCTAAAATTCGTTTCCTAACATTGCTTTTTTATAATGCAACAGTGTGACGTTGGAACATCTGAACCCCCTCATCACACATCGTCACAAAATTACGGACTCCCTTCCCCCCTACGAGTGTGGCGTCATTTATGGATGACCCCCTAATACCTTTGGTGGCAGGTTCATCAGTGCGAGAGATAATCATTACAGCAAGTCCGTGTTTATGTTTTGTTGTTATTCTGAAGGTGTCGTCAACCCATCTCTCCTCAAAATACCGCGTCACAGGTTTTTACATGGAATATTCCAATTCTAGCGTTACTTCCCCTTTCATGAACTCTCACTCATCCACCTGTAAAAACACAATCGCATTTGTTAATTAACCTTGAACTGTCCCGTGGGTGGGGAGGGGGGCTACCTAAACTAAACAATAGTGTGGGCAGAGGGGTGTCCGGGAAGTTATGACCTCCCCCGTGACCGAGTCCTGCCTACGCCCCTGAAACAAACCATTACCTTATCGACTGGCATAGGGGTCGTCCATAAATGACGTCAGAGGGGGTCCGTAATTTTGTAACGGTGTTTAATATGGGGGGGGGGGGTCAGATTGTGTGATGTCACACTTTTGCATTATAAAAAAGCAATTTTAGAAAATGAGTTTTAGTTTTAGCCGTTATTTCGCGCTTTAGAAAACGGTTTTAACAATTTGTAATAGGAATTGATCAAAATACTCTATGTTGACAGAGTTCTGATCAGATTTTGGTAAAATATGTTTTAAGAAAAATTCAATAGCAATTTTGAAGGTGGTTGTTGGCTAAGGTGTGACGTCATTTTAGGGAGGGGGGTCTGGCTTTTGTGACGGAGGGGAGGGGGGGGGAGGTAAAAATCGTCCAAAAAAGCGTGACGTCATTTGTGGATGACCCCATACACACCAGTTAGGCCTAGAGATCTACATAGAAATTTAACAACTCGACCGTTTGGTAAACTTAAACAAGACTGGCCAAAACAAAGTTTCTAAACTTTCAACTACACAAAGCCTTTATACAGTTTACGACTACTTAACAACAGTGTAGGACGACTACAAAAGAACGCGTCTGTCTAGTGGAAAAAGAAACAAAAATTCAAGACAAAAAAAAAAACTAGAGCCCTAGGCCAAAACTAAAATAAGGGTTTTAAAAGGACAGACATCTGTTAAAAGTGATTTGATGTAATTTTCGTGATACACTCTACTTGAAATCGGACTTTGACATGTAAACAACAATACATTACAGTTGTTCACTTTACGGCCTTGGGTTTTTTTTTATTACAGCTCTATTGCGACAGCCATCTTGCCTTCTGACTTTGATAAGTTGGACGAGACTTAGGGAACAAGAACAAGTGGCTGCGTGACAGGTGCCCCTGGAGAGCAGGTCATCATGTTAAAGGTCTCCTAGAGAAAAGATGATCACGTTAATGTCACCGAAGAGGAAATGACCACGTGACATGTCCCCGCGGAAACAGCTACGTGACATGTTCTCTAAGAGAGAAGATGATCACGTGGCAGATGGGATTATCACGTGATTATATCTTCTCCCCCTCCAGACAGCAGATGACAGCGTGACATCTCTCCCAAGAGAGCAGGTGATCACGTGACAGGTCCCCATCCAAACCACTGTGTAGGCCACAGACTCTTCCGTCAATTGTAAGATTTTCTCTGATCTTTTGTTGAAAGTTTTTTTTTTTAAATCTCCCCCATCCCAACCACTACCAGCTAGCGGTGGTAAGCAAGAGGAATTAAACCTTAAGCAATATAACTTTTACAATGGCTTTTTCCAGAATACAACACCAAAATTAGCATCTTCCAAGATTACACAATAATCTGAAGCTGGACGAGTCCAAAAGTCTAGGCAAGGGTGTCCAACTTTTGACCTAACGCTTACAGTATTTTACTTATTCTATGTCTTTGTTTTTTTTACAAACCGTACCATATTCCCTTTTAGTTTGCTGTATGTTTCTTCAACTACCTATACATTCATAATATTTTTTACCCTTGTATTTTCGGACATTTTTAACAACCATGCACCACCACTGCAGGTAGGATACCCCTATGAACCATTACCACGTCATGCAACTTTATCTTAGAGTGCAAAAAAACAACCTATTACTAATTATATTACATCAGATTTAAAACTAAGGCCACATTAAACCACAGGTTTGTCGAACCCTGTGTGTCGAAACTAGCTACAAACGTGAAAAACAAAATTCCACACAGCTCTGAACCTTCTTTAGGACACGTCTTGATCAGGGTTTCTTTCTGACATCTCTTGGTAATGGGGGGGGGGGCGCTGTACACCAAATCCAAGTCGACAGGCTAGTCTTTATACAATTCGCCTATGTCCGTCTGCGCATATCGAATAACATCATATTGTATTTTTTTCAAAGCCATTTAAAAAAAAATCAGATTTCAAAGTAGACCGTAAACTTTCAACATCATTTTATGAACGATTTTTTTTTTAAATCAATAATTGACTTACAGTGAGCTTGTTAGGAGGCTCGGTGCAAGATCACATTCAGAGTTACAGGAAGCTCTTCGGAAGGCGGACTCACCCCCCCCCCCCCGCCCCGAACGAAATTTAATATGTATAGAAAATATATACTTTTACCAGTATAGCCCCCCCCCCCCCCCCCCCGAGATAAAGTCTGGAAGAAACACTGATTTCATTAACTAGATACGAGTATTTTAGAAAAAAACTTAAACATGTAAGAGAAAAGCAGAGAAAGTGTTTTAAAAAATTTCAAACAGCTTAAAAAGTATCATACAAACTCCAATAAAATAACAGGAAATAACATACTTGTATAATTTCAAAACCAAGGGGGAAAAAAAGTACAATTCTGCGTTCTTAACGTAAATCATCATACTGTACCATTTCAATAACTACTACAGATTTTAAAGATATGTGTGACAGATGAAATTATGTAGGCTACAAGTTACATTTGCTCCGAGGGGGAGGGATTCGAAACTTCTAAGGGGGGAGGGAGATGTTTAAGCATATGACTGCTACTTAAATAAAAATATGTGTCTACTTCGTCTGGGTGGGTGGGAGGCTGGAACGCTAGACGTGAACCCCCACCCCCCCCCCTTCCCAACCCTGGTAATTTTTTTATGACCAATATCTTTGAACAACGCAGAAAACTATATGCCGGTGGATATATATATATATATATATATATATATATATATATATATATATATACTAGCCGTCCCGGCCAGGCCCTGCTCTGGCTTCTGTGAAAAACCTTTCTGTTAAAGACCATTACCTGTGTGTTTAGTAATCATCATAAACCCGGCATTGCCCACCCAAACCACAACCAACCAAAACAACAAAACGCAAACATAACGCTAACACAATTACAAATACAAACGAAAACAAAAACCTAACAACAAACCCAACCACAATCACAAACACCAATACAAACACAAAGAAAAAACAAACAAAAAGCAAACGAAAACAAAAACCTAACAACAAACCCAACCACAACCACAAACACCAATACGAACACAAAGAAAAAAAAACGAAAAAGCAAACGAAAACAAACCAAATCCAAACGCAAAACCAACCACAAACACAAATACAAACACAAACCCAAAGAAAAAAACACAAACGAAAACGAAAAAAGAAAGAACAAAAACGAACCAAATCAAAACGCAACCACTAAAGCAAACCCAGCCTAAACACAAAGAAAACACTAACGCGAACATAAACGCAAAGTGCTCACAGTCTAGCCCGGGGCAGAATCGCCTGTTTCAGCTTAATAATCGACTATAGTACCCCAACTTATTCATAGTCTTTTGCACTCACTTAAACGAACGTAGGTGCCAAACCAAACCAAATGATCAATTATAATACTCCAAGCTTATTCGTAAAATACCTACAACATTTGCACTTGATCAATCCCCGCAAATTATGTAATTATTTTTTTCCCAACACCAAAGCAAAGTAATAAAAAGTAAATTCTTTTCCACTAATGCAATGTTTTATAAAGGGAAGTAATTGTGTTTTCCTAATTTATCAAAGGGAAGTAAGTGCTAAAGAACTAAATATAAATAATTTTCAGACATAATTAGAATTTTTGTTATTTTTTAAAAATTGTGTTTAATGAACATGCCGACAATTATTACTATCAGTTTGAAAAATGAAAATTATTTCCCAAACACTTTCAATAGTAATTTTTTAACTCATAAATGTTTTTTTTTTTTCCCAACACCAAAACATATGTCCCCGGGCGCCGACCTTAGGGGGTGCCAAATGGGTTGGTAAAAGTAATCGAAAGTTTGAAGGGGGGGGGGTGCAAATCGAAAGTTTTTTCAATTTTCAATTTGCACACCCCCCCCCCCTCAAACTTTCGATTTGCACGTCTTAAAACAATATTTAAC